ACGAGCTAGCTAACTATCTATCTAACCTAACCTAACCTAACCTAACCTAAACACAATTAGAGTGCATTTTGTCACGTTGTGGTATAAAGTTAGAATCAGAATTAGGATCAGATTAAAGTTAGGGCTAGGATTGAAATTAGGCAAATATTTCCAATAGTCAGGGTAAGGGTAAGAAGCCAGGGGATGCATTTGTCTATGTGTAGTGCCCAAAAATAACTGCATGTGAGAGAGAGACAGGGTTCATGTTGGTAGTACCTGACAGTGTTAGAGGCCCAGTCAGTTTTACTGGGATGCCTATCCGTGTGTAGCTGGCTTGTTAAACAGCCTCCTGAGAGCAGTTCTCAGGAGCCGTGTATGAAGAAAAATCGGAGTGTGTCTAAAATACTGTATGTCCACTTCAAATAAAACTGATTGTTGAAATTGTATCAATCAAGTGCCTTCAGTCCAAAGCAAGGACTTCCTTTCATGTCTTCCAGTTCATGTGTCCCTGGTGGAAGAATATTCCTGTAGCAGAGTGAGTCGAAGGAAACCACAGTTATGTAGAAGCTGGGTTGTGGCCTCCGTCTCGCAGCAAATCCTCCCCCTCGTCTGGAAGCTGTTGACTTTATTCTCCAGATGTGGCTGCCCAATCATTTTAATGACACACTGGAGCAGGCCGAACAGAACGGAACAGACGATAGGCTGAAAAGAAACAGCGCCAGACCCTGAAGGAATCTGAGGTGATGACAGAGAAAACCTCCTCATCTGCAGTTATTTTGAGTACGATAGCGGTTTAAACTACTTTAAATCAAACTAACTTTAAAACAGCGACGTGATTAATATGCAGAGAAACATTTCCTGGACAATTTTGTTGATCTCCCCAGTTGTTTTAGCTAGCTAGCTTTGAGCTATGTTTGGACTTTGTTATAAGTGTATGATCAGTGCTAGCATCTTTAGCTTTGTGTTTATAGCATTTTAGCTAATCTTCTTATAATAATAAACCTTTGAATTTTGACCTTAACTAACATTTGGGTATTTCAAAGCTATTTTTAGTTGTTTAGTTGTCAATTTTTCCTAATTGTTAGATTTTTGCAAAAGGTTGAGTGAGTTAAGGCTAACCTTTCTTTACCTTTAGGTTGTTTTTTTATTTTAAATAATTTCACCAATTCTTTAGGCTTTTATTTTGGCGAACCTTGGACTATCTTAAAGTTATCTTTTGTTGTTGTTTTCTATCTGTGATCTAATTTTATTGTTTATTTTTTCTACATTTATTTCAGCAAAGGTTTTTATCTGTCTTTGAGAAGGGTCTAAATAATTGACTAATTCATGGACAGTCACATGGTCGTGTACATTTAATGACAATACTATGGAAAAATAATGAGAAAAACAACTATTACTGGCAGCAGGTATTTTTAAGTTCAGTAAACCTTAACAAATTATAACCATTTTTGATAACGACTTACATGTCTGACTACAGCCATGTTTGACCTGAACTCACTGAACATTTGAACTTGTTTGTCTGAATTCACTTCAAATGTTCTCTAAAACCAAACTTAAATGTAGGAATTTTCCTGATAAGTCATCTGAGTCCCCTCCTCCTCCTCCTCTTCCTCCTCCTCCTCCTCCTCCTTCTTCCCTCTACTGTCACACTCAGACATGCCCAGTGGCTTCACCAGCAGGTGTCTTTGACTTGGTCCTCCTCCAGGTTGCACAGCTGTCTGGCCCACACACACACACACACACACGCACACATATGTACACATACAAGCAAGAAACGAGGGCAAAAGAGCCACTTAATGAACGAACAGCAAACAACCCCTTTTCCCCGGTCAGACTCTGCCTTCTCGTTGGACAGCTCTGTCGGGGACATGCCCCCACCGTGTCTTTTGTGAGTGCAAGTGGACCAAACAAAAGTTTATTGAGGAATCTCTGGGAAGCCCAAGCTGTTGGAAAGGAATGCCCCTCTCCATCTTGAGGCTCGGAGCTTCAGTCTTCATCAGTCACTGGAGGGGCCGGCGAGCTGGGGGCCTCCTGGCCCGGGCGGGCAGACAGGAACTCACTCACTCTTGACCTCCTCTGGCTCAATAAAACGTGTTAGCCCAACACAGACGGCCAAAGGCTGGTCATTGTTGCTGATGTGACACAGATAAATCAAAGTAACTGCCCCTATTAGCCCCCTCGTCCTCATTTATACTGTCTAATCCTTATGTAATCTCCGTCAGGACAGGAAATGACGGCGTGGAAATGTCCTGTGTGAGACAGGAATAATTCAAATCCAGCGGCATGTGAAGAAAAAGTGACTGCTGCTTTTTTTGGTGCTTTTAGGAACATTATATTTTTGTCAAATATTATCAAGTGATCTGTAGAGCAATGACTAAGTTAGTGAACCTAAAAGATTTATTTAGAAAGTCTAGTTTTTATTTGCATACAGAATAAAGTGGACGGTACGGTGGTTGAGTGTTGAATGCTAATTGACCGCTCATATTGAGTGACAGTTCACTCTCAATTAAGTGAAGGTGTGAATATTAGTGTGAATGGCTGTTCCCGCTCCCTGATTCTGATGACAGTGATACAATTATTTCACAGTATTTTCACATTTTTACATAATTTCAATGTATACAGTTATTAGTGCTCAGAGTTCCATATTTTGGAATTGTGTCAGGACTTTTTTTGATTCTCGATCAAAACACTCACTTCTGGAGACGGTTTATAGGAGAGTTTTCCTTCCACTTCCGTCACTTGTTTGCTTGAAGTAGACTTCAGTCTACAAAGAGCAGAAATGAGAGTTTCCATGGTCTGTCACCTCAGAGTCACTCCACTGAGCTACTTTTGACATTTCAGTGCTAGGCTGAGCTAACTCATTCATGTTACCGTAGTTCTTTATTCTTCTCTCGAGTCAAAAGCAGGTTCTTGAGTCACCTGTGGCTCTTTAGCTTCTTAGCATTGACTCCTGCAGGATCATTTTGACTGATGCACCACATCCACCAGTGTTACAGGAAACAATGATGTTGAACGTTCTGTTTTCTTGCTAACAGCAAATCAAAATACGCTTTTAACTAAGGTTTTTGTATGCTTTTTGTCTTTCCTTTGGAATATTAGGTTTCTTATATTACTAAAGTTTTTTTTTTTTTAGTTCGGGCCTCAGTCTTTTGGCTCCGTTGAATATTCAAGTAAAACAATATAAGTTTAGCTAATAGACCTAACTCGGTGTAAAAGCCTGTGGGAAGTCATTTACGGTGGTTCTAGTGTCTGAGGCAGTGAGTATTTTGGTCCCACCTGTGATTCTAGGAAAGCTGAAACTTTCTGTTCAGCAGAAATGATGGAGGAACAAAGGGTGTGTGTGTTTCTCACTATACATGAAGGCGGAGTTTCTCCCTGAGCCAGACTGCCCCCCCTCCTCCTTCTTCCCTCTACTGTCACACTCAGACATGCCCAGTGGCTTCACCAGCAGGTGTCTTTGACTTGGTCCTCCTCCAGGTTGCACAGCTGTCTGGCCCACACACACACACACACACACGCACACATATGTACACATACAAGCAAGAAACGAGGGCAAAAGAGCCACTTAATGAACGAACAGCAAACAACCCCTTTTCCCCGGTCAGACTCTGCCTTCTCGTTGGACAGCTCTGTCGGGGACATGCCCCCACCGTGTCTTTTGTGAGTGCAAGTGGACCAAACAAAAGTTTATTGAGGAATCTCTGGGAAGCCCAAGCTGTTGGAAAGGAATGCCCCTCTCCATCTTGAGGCTCGGAGCTTCAGTCTTCATCAGTCACTGGAGGGGCCGGCGAGCTGGGGGCCTCCTGGCCCGGGCGGGCAGACAGGAACTCACTCACTCTTGACCTCCTCTGGCTCAATAAAACGTGTTAGCCCAACACAGACGGCCAAAGGCTGGTCATTGTTGCTGATGTGACACAGATAAATCAAAGTAACTGCCCCTATTAGCCCCCTCGTCCTCATTTATACTGTCTAATCCTTATGTAATCTCCGTCAGGACAGGAAATGACGGCGTGGAAATGTCCTGTGTGAGACAGGAATAATTCAAATCCAGCGGCATGTGAAGAAAAAGTGACTGCTGCTTTTTTTGGTGCTTTTAGGAACATTATATTTTTGTCAAATATTATCAAGTGATCTGTAGAGCAATGACTAAGTTAGTGAACCTAAAAGATTTATTTAGAAAGTCTAGTTTTTATTTGCATACAGAATAAAGTGGACGGTACGGTGGTAGAGTGTTGAATGCTAATTGACCGCTCATATTGAGTGACAGTTCACTCTCAATTAAGTGTAGGTGTGAATATTAGTGTGAATGGCTGTTCCCGCTCCCTGATTCTGATGACAGTGATACAATTATTTCACAGTATTTTCACATTTTTACATAATTTCAATGTATACAGTTATTAGTGCTCAGAGTTCCATATTTTGGAATTGTGTCAGGACTTTTTTTGATTCTCGATCAAAACACTCACTTCTGGAGACGGTTTATAGGAGAGTTTTCCTTCCACTTCCGTCACTTGTTTGCTTGAAGTAGACTTCAGTCTACAAAGAGCAGAAATGAGAGTTTCCATGGTCTGTCACCTCAGAGTCACTCCACTGAGCTACTTTTGACATTTCAGTGCTAGGCTGAGCTAACTCATTCATGTTACCATAGTTCTTTATTCTTCTCTCGAGTCAAAAGCAGGTTCTTGAGTCACCTGTGGCTCTTTAGCTTCTTAGCATTGACTCCTGCAGGATCATTTTGACTGATGCACCACATCCACCAGTGTTACAGGAAACAATGATGTTGAACGTTCTGTTTTCTTGCTAACAGCAAATCAAAATACGCTTTTAACTAAGGTTTTTGTATGCTTTTTGTCTTTCCTTTGGAATATTAGGTTACTTATATTACTAAAGTTTTTTTTTTTTTAGTTCGGGCCTCAGTCTTTTGGCTCCGTTGAATATTCAAGTAAAACAATATAAGTTTAGCTAATAGACCTAACTGTAAAAGCCTGTGGGAAGTCATTTACGGTGGTTCTAGTGTCTGAGGCAGTGAGTATTTTGGTCCCACCTGTGATTCTAGGAAAGCTGAAACTTTCTGTTCAGCAGAAATGATGGAGGAACAAAGGGTGTGTGTGTTTCTCACTATACATGAAGGCGGAGTTTCTCCCTGAGCCAGACTGCAGTTATGTAACCGAGCCACAGCTTCCCATCCTGATGTGGAGTTCAGTCGCTCCATGGAATATTACTTCCAGAGCTCCGACTCTCAGTGATGTGGGATTTCTCTGAGGAAATTAGTTTTTAGAGCCGAGACCTCGCCTCGCAGTCTTTAACCTAATTCAAATCCGACTTTTACAGTGTGCCAAGGATAGAGTCTTCAACTCTGGGAGTTTCTCTGCTGCGACTGGAGGAGAGTTTGGAGATGGGACTTGGACTAAAGATTACTTGGATATAAAAAATAAAGGCTTCCAAACATGGGCAGCGGACCGAGCCGGGGTAAGAAGGTGGCTCCAGCGTGTGTCAGTGAAGTGAATGGGACTAAAACGTCCGCGGGAGTCACGTCACCCAAACACGACTGGCATCCCTTCAACCCGCTCAGAATCCACGCGGTGCTGCGCACTGCGCGTAACCGACCGTTGCCGGACTGTCACAGCGAAGGGCCCGAGTCCGACTTCTCTGACGAGGACGCGGACCGAGAGCTGGAGGCGGTTCTGGCGGACTACGATGACACAGATTCGGTGAAGAAACCTGCAGCCAAAAAACATTTCCTCAGGTCCAGAACTTATGGACTGTGCCATTTTAGTGGTGAGGACACCGAGGACGAAGGTGTCCACGGGCCAAGGGTGAGAGCTGGGGGAGGACGGGGCGAGGAGCCACGTGGCTCCCACCCTGGACCTACAGATGTAAACATCAGGAGCAATGACGCGTTCACGCGCTTAAAAACACGCGCACCTGCCCGCGCCACCCAGCACCATGTAAGGACTTAGTTTATAATTGATGAGTCAGTTTATTATGAGATGACATCTTTTCGTCTTTTCTTGTCTCCTTTTACATATTATTCACCTCTTTTTCTTTTTTCTTTCTTACTTTCTTTTTTCCCTTTTCCCTTTATTTTCTTTTTCCTTTCTGTCCTTCTTTCTTTTTACTTTATTCTTTATTTTCTACTTCTCATCTGGCCTCTTTTTTTCTTCTTCTTCTACCCTAACCTTTACTTTGCAATTTAATGTTTTCATTCTTTGCATCTTTCCTACTCCCATTTTTCCTCATTATTGTATTTCCCCCTATATTTTATTCAAAAATGTTGTTGTTTTTTTCCCTCTGGTCTTTTTCATTACGTTTATAAATGACTTTTTTTCTTCCCTAATTCTCCCTATACTTCCTTTTCCCTTTTAATTTTTGAAACATTCCCATTCATCTGTTCATGTGTTACCCCTCTTCCTCCTCCTCCTCTTCCTCCCAGGGCTTCCTGACAGGTGGAGTCCTGCTGGATGCTGTTCCCTGTTCATCAGATAAACAAACGTGAGTAAACAGCTCTGTTAAATAAATCATTGACTGATTGAACTCTGCTGAGTTAGGCAGGATCAAATTAACGTCCGAGGGATCAAAATACCTGTCTTTCTTTGACCTGCACCTCAACCTGTCGTTGAACCCAAACCCAAAGTAAAAAAGAAACAACGTTTGGTCATTACTAATCCAAAAAACTCACCAAGAGTGCAACATTACCGCCGGAGCTTGACTCGTAAACAACTAAAGTCATTGACCATTTGACATTGTTTTTTGACAAGATTTTTTTTATAGTAAATGCAAGATTAAATTATTTGATATAACAATTACCAGAATATTCTCACCATTCATTGAATATGAAAAATAGACTCAGTCGTTCAGTTGGTCAAAATGTTGTTGAAGTGAAACAATGATGATTGACTGATTTAATGAACAATTTATTCAGAAGACTGTTGTCTCAGTTCAAAATAATCAAGTCGTGTGCAGTGGAACATTGTGTTGTCTTTATTGTTGAAAATCCCATTTAGAGGAAAACAGGAGAAAGCACACATTAGTTAATAGAAGTTGCCTGTTAGGACTGGTGTAAACCTCAAATTAGAAAGCCCACGTTGCCAAGTAAACAGAGAGTAAACAAAAACGAATTAAAACCTGACAAAAAACCTGTCAGGTACGAAGTCTGAGCTGAATAATTAAGGACGAGAGCCAATGATGTTTGTTGACATCTGAACCCAGATCCAATAGCTAGCCTCTCTGTACGAGAGTGCCCCTAGTGGGCTTTCTAGAGACACACCGTAGTATGTCTGAAGTGGTCAGGCTGTTTGTGGACCAGATAAAAAAGTCTGTTGTAAAAATCGGCCACATAAACCCTGAGGACCGAACCATGTGGATCCCATTTTTCAGGCCACTTTGCACCGTGTGCATCTAACATCAACATGCTGAATGGAAAAAGACACAGTGTTCTTCAGCACAGCCTGGGGTCCGACATGTGCACAGCAGAATGCAAACAAACAAGCGTCTGTTGTTGCTGCTTTGTTGGTGATGAGCTGGAGAAGCAAAAGCAGAGCTGGAAAAAATTAGTCATTCCACAACAATAGGCTTTTATACAAGATTGACCCTTTTTTGGAAAGTCATCCAGTGGAAATGTTACCAGCTGGATTCTTCAGTGCTAAAAATACACTTTTTTTTTCTTTTACTTTGTTGACAAGGTTCCTTTACTGTCTTTCCTCAGGAACTTTGGGAGCTGTCATGGCTCCTCTCTCACCATGCCTGTCATCCTGTACGATGGATCAGAGGAGGAGCTGATGGACACGATCGAGAGGGAGTTCAGTTGACCCTCCTCTCCCAGTGAGGATTAGACAGCCAAGCAGTTGTTCTTTTAAGCTCTGCTAATGCGGTACAGCAGTTTACAGTTGATGTTTTCACATAGAAACGGAACCAGGGTTTTCCTTGACAAATTCCCTGCTGCCAGGGAAGGCTGCACTGAAGTGTATTTATACAGTTTCCAGGACAAACGTCACTTGTGTGGAAGGTAAACAGCTACTTTCTGCCGCCTTATCAGCTAGTACGTCCTTAATGAGAAAACACATGGGCTAATGGGTACAAATTAGATGGAACATGTTCCAAGATGGCCACCTTTTGAATACCACAGCTTTCTTGCTCGCTTCTATTCGTCCTCCTGTAATGTGTAACCTATTACAGTACAGTATTTTCTTTAACTTATTTGTTAACAGATTGACTACACATTGCTGTGGTGCCTTATTTTGTAAAACTGAAGTACATTTTTGTCCTTGGGTGTGTAAAGGGTACATTGCATTTTTCAGCCGTTTTTGCAGTACTCAGCGTACAGGACTAAATTCTCTGAAATGTTTATTTAAAGTTTCCTTCCTGACCACAGTTACTGCATTTCTCCACCCTGATGAAGAAGGAATGTGTGGCAGAAAGACTTCCATTCCGACACCGATGCAATTCAGGGCAGGCGTCTGCTGCCACTTAGTGGTAAATCTGAGTACTGTGGTGCATGTGGAGTCTTGCGATTGAAATGTGCACTGCCGCGAGATTTAAGAGATGCAATTTTATAATTTGAATAAAGTTCTGCCGAGATTTGAATCATTGGTCGATGTTCGTGTGCTGCTCAAGAATCCAACTCTGGTGAGAATCATTGTGCCACATATGACATCATCACATGAACGAAATATTAAACAAATAATTTAAAAAAATACATCATAACATATTTAAAATAATACAATTTTAAAACAAAAAACACCAGTGTGAGGTAGATCTTCACATTAAAGCAGTGAAATAAAGCAGTTGTAGTCATGGCTGAAACATTTCATTTACGGTACATTAGAACGTCTGAGATAAATGAGTAGAAAAATATTGAAACCAATCGCAATGGACCTGAAACTAGCAACAGAACGTAGACCGCTACCTCTTTGAAATAAAGTGGCACAATAATATATCACTTTTGGCATTTAACGGACTATTGTGCTGATTTCTTCTTGGAAGGTCTGTAGAAATTCATCCTCCTCTGCACGGCTGACAGCAGTTTGGGAGGCAGGAAGTGGAGCTGGTTTCTCAGCAGCTCATTGTTCCTCACATTCTTCGCAATGAAATCTTCACAAATCCTGTCAGGAGGGGAACAGTCGGTGAAATATCTTTTCTAATTTGGCAGAACAATTACATGGGCAGAGTTGACGCGACGTGTTCTACAGAGAAATGGAGACGGTGAAGTAAATGTCACACAAATCTAGAACGACCGTCGAGGACAGAATTATTAGGATCACGCCTGAGGAAAATGAATTGTTGTAAAATATTCCCCATATGCAAATATTTTCTAGCAGATCATTTCAGAATATTACTCACTTTGTACAGTCATTATTTAGTTCAATTACATTTTAATTACATTTTAGTGGTTGATGATGTTAGAGCTGTTTGGGATGAAATATAAAACAGTAAGTATTTACCTGTACAGAGGGTAAGGTTGCATCTGGAAAACAAGGGCATCATTGCAATGACCCTAAAGACATAAAATACAAGTTTGTTTCTATTAGTTTGTTGTCACTATTTTCAACAGTTTTATTTATTTCTCTCAGAGAGACTCACGGTGTCGACCAGGAGGATGTAGTCACAACTTCCTCCAAACACGATCACGTCAGAGTCTCTGCCAAGACACGCTGTGTGCCACAACCTGCGTGTGAAGTAGGTGAGAAGACACTCACAGTTTTAAAGGCACTTAAAGTCATACAAAAAACAGCATCGGACCTTTTTTATTATTAGTAATACATGCATACATTTGATTTGATTTGATTTGCTGTTATTTGTTTGGATTCATTTTGACAGATACAATACAACATAGGACACGATGCGATGCAAATCGATATAACATGATTTATTAATTTGTATTAATTCTGTTGCAGGGGAATGTTCTAGTTATATCCGAGTGTAACTTATGTTTAAATATACATTTTAAAGTACTACTTGATTGCTACCTTGGCTTGTTTCCATGTGGATGTTGAATTTCTGTCCATTTCTTAGTCTGGAGATCAAACAGCCATCCATCACCTGGAAAGAAGTAGGTAGAATAGAATCAAATATTTTTTAGAGAAAAGGAATACAGTATGGTGTTGTGAAACACAGTTGCGTTCTCTCACTCATTGGTGTACAGTTTGAACTGAGTCCTCCGAACAGAAACAGTGTGTTTTCTGAAACTGCTGTGAGTGTGTGCCATGACCTGCCCACTGGACTGGGCGTCACAGGGATTCTGGAAAACACCAAAGTCAAAAACAAAACACATGTAAAATAAATATCATGTCCAAGCTAATCTTATTGTGATGTGACAAATATACCACACAAAAGCTAAACAACAGAAAACACCGGTCTCAAATGATCAGGATTTCATTCATGGTGACTCCTGCAATGACATACGCACATTTCTGACCAAGTCATCGTGTTCAAGTCCATACAGTGAATGTCGTTTTTCCTGGTTTCCTGTAAAAAAAAACATTGAAGGAGTAAAAACTCTCAGACTTGAATAAAGCAACAGAATTACATGAGCGGTAACAGAAAGAGTCAATATATAATTAAAATGTCACCATGACTCTGCCTCCAAAGATGTAACCTTTACAACCAGAGGTGGCGCTGGCGTGGGCAGCTCTAGGTGCAGGAGTATTGCCCTGTACACACAAACACTGTCACTGTATCTTTAAATCTTTAGAGAATCTTCAATATTTTAATTTTGCCCAACACTTTTGTGACGATTTACCAATATTAATATGCTATGCTAATAAAAACGTCAGTCCACTGGACACATGTACGTGTGAATAACTTACACAGGTGTGTGGTCTGGTCCAACTGGTCTGTGCCGGGTCAAAAATGTGCACCTCGTTGTTCCAGCCCCAGAAGACGTCCTCCACCTGGAAACAATTTTGCAATTTTTCTGTATATTCTGTGAATATTTTTTGTTCTGTCTTCAGGCTAACGTCTAGCTTTTTTGGTCCTATGTTACAGTAATCTGTTCGCTACAGTAACTGCAGTGTGTCCATTATTCTGTTTTGGTCGGACTGATAACTATTTATATCTTTTATCCATACAAACCATGTTTGGCAGCTAACATTTAGCAACTTGTCCTAATACCCTGAGAGTTTTAACTGCCTCACTTGTACCTGTAACAACCAGGGCATCGTGACTTTAATCATTTTATGGAGAAACACACAGAGCTGTGTGTACAACGGCAGCTTTGCTGGACATTTTCACACTTAAATTTAACACGAAACACAATTGTGCTTATGAATATGATATATGGACATTTATTTACCCATGCTGCTTCGTCCACAATAAAGTTTCTGTTACTGTTGTCAATATCAGACAGAGCTTTGTGACCATATCCTCCAAAGTAGATTATCCTGATTTTAACAAAAAAAAAAACACACACACACGTAAAATACAAAAAAACACACAACAACAATGCACTAAATGCTACTTGAGATCAAATTTGTGTTGCAGCGTGACTTCAGACCTCTTACCGTCCTTCATAAGTCCAGCAGGAAACTTTGTCTCGAGGTGAGGGCACAGAACCTCTCTTAGCTCGGACCTTCCTCCAGGTGTAATTACCGTCTGTCAGGTTCACACAGTACATCTGTTTGAAAACAAACAAGTGTTTTTATTTCATTTGATTTTCCAATATTTTTTTTATGACTCACTTTTTTACATTCCCATTTTTCAGTGAGATTATTTTGTTCTTTTGAATTTTGTAGCTTGAATAACTGTATTTGGCATCTAGACCTCAAATATTTACTATTTACTATGTGCGCGTGGAAAGCATTTAAAGTACTTTTAAGTATGCAAAAAATATTAGCAGTATTAGTATCAGTGTGGACATATCACAGTGTGGAGGTGTCGTCACCTGATTGGTCTGTCCGTTCATATCACAGCCTCCAAACATGTACAACTGTCCATCCAGGAAGCAGCCACAGATCCCCGACATGGGGGGAGGAACCTCCCCTGTCATGTAAAACACTTCCCTTCAAAAACAAACAATAGACGATACATTGTTATTGAATGATCACTTCACGCTGCTTTAGTTATAATTGTGATTTAAAATGTGTGTATTCGTTTATCCATCGTACCAAACCCCTTGCTGGATGTCATATACCCAGATTTGAGTGTTGGACAGGAACACTTCACTTTCAGCCACTGACTGTGGAATATAATATACGCTTATTACATGTTATTACATTATTAGATGTGGAGCAATAGAATAATTGTTGCTATGTAATTACCACTTGACTCCATCATTTTTTTTATCTGTATGCTTATTTATTTTATTTTTATTTTATTTCTCTTTTTTCAACTTTTAGTGATAGTACTGCTGCATTTTTGTTAAAATTGTGTTATTATATTTCCATCATTATTACACAATTATTTTAATGCACAATACTGTTGACGCTGAACCTGTTCTAAAGAAAACTGGACAAGGCCTTTCGTTTACTTCACACCCCACAGTTTCTCCACATCTACAGCAATTCCTTCTCGGTTGACAGAACCAAATGTCCACATCTATGACTAAGATTACTCTCGTTTTTCTGATTGATTACTTTACATCTTTTTGTATCCTTTTACAATTCCTGTTTTAAAAAAAACTGAAATAAAACAAACTATACATTACTAATATTCATGACAGGGTGTGTTTCTCACCACATATCCTCCCCACACATACAGCAGGTTGTCGTCGGTCACCACAGCCGTGTGTCCGCTCCTCTCTCGGGCCACCAGCTCCGAACATTGGCTCTCTGCCCCGGTATCCATGACTGTGTGGCCGCCGATGTTCACAAGCTCACACACTTAAGACAGACACAGAAATCTGTCTAAAAATGTCTCGGGTCACCACCCGTCAGCTGGGCTCTCCTTGGCTTCTTCGCGATAATTATAGGTACTTCTCATTATCGTTCCAAAGAATCCAATACCGCATGTGTTTATTTTTAAAAAGGCTGAATGACAACAGGGTGTTTGCCTGTGTTATTGCTTTGAATCATGTTGTTTAAACATAAACCCCGAGTCCATCTGTAAAAACAAGTCGATGTTTCGCTGACGTTTCTGACGTAATAATTTTTTTAGAGCTCCTGAAACTTCCGGCTTGTATTTTTCAAAATAAAACTGTTTGTTCGATCATAAATACAATATGTTCTTTTCATATCTTTTAACTACTTGTGATTATCTTTTGGTTAATGGCACATTTTGGGTCTTTCCACAACAAAATCTATTATATCTTTTTTACTTTTAGCTGTATTGTAGCAAACATCACAGTTCTCCTGGCACAATTCCCCTTGTTGCTATTTTTGGCAACTCATGTCAATGTTTTAGTGTACATTTAGTTATTCGTGTTAATCACCTCATGGGAAATATAAAATATAGTTTTGTGGTAAGTTTAGATATTGTCCCTAATAACTTCTTATTTTAGCATTTTAGCAAAAGTTAAGGTATATATTAAAATGACATTACTTTAATGCCTATTTAATGCCTATATGTGATTGTTTTTCTTCATTTTTCAGGGAAATGGACAGAAGTTAAAAATATCACTCCAATTGTTATAGTGTTAGAACTTTACATATAAAGCAAAATTTACCAATTATTTTTTTCATTTGTGACGTTAGACTACGGCAAACACACCCCAACCAAAGACTAAAGACTTAAACGGAAGTGATGTAAAACATGCGGAAGTAGCAATTTAGCGCCAAAGCTTGAGTTGGACAGAGAAACAAACATGGATGTAGCTCGAAAAATAAAAAACAAAGTGTCATCTGGTTTCAAAATGCGGGGACTTATACTACGACCGTGAGTAATTTAATTATATACTTTATGTTTAATTTTAAGTACTGGTGTTTACTTAAAGTAAATGCGAGTTGCGTTGTAGTAACTTATAGCAACCAGGCAGCCTGACTTCTGTATGTTTTCTGTTTTGTCTTGTACCGTATTGATTCAATTTTAACCCGGTTTTAAAAGGCAGTGGTCCAGTTTTTGTCATGTCCATCTCGAGTACAGTTCGTTTCCACAGAATCAATAACACAATTGCCATGTTTTCTTGTCCAATAGTGAAGCCAGCAAATATCTTGTTGAAATGCTGGAATCTGTCAATGCTATTGACCTTGATGATGTTATTGAGAAGGTCCTGGATGCAGTGGAAAAGCAGCCACGTATGTACAGCTCATACAATGTCCCGATAATACGCGTACAGTTCTATTGCTTGTTTTATCAAGAATCCTAAGTGCTTGTGTTTTACCAACAGTGTCATCCAATATGATAGAGCTGGATGTGGTTAAGATTGCTGTGCAGGACTGCACCCAGTCCTGTGATGAAACAATGTGAGTATACCTGGTGTACAGAATCCTCTGAAAACATCTTGCGGTTTTCTTCTCTTCATTTATCAGTAAAAGGATATGTCAGTTCTAAATTGTTTTGTTTTTAATAAGCTAATACAGAACTTCTATACAGTTGCCAGGGTCACTTCAAGGTTGTAATTAGCTGTTTTGTTTTAGAGGAAATCTCACTTTTAACAATTGTTAAAATGTCTTCCAGAGACACTGTCTTCAACATCATTGGAGCCTTTGATATCCCCAGATACATTTACAGTGTAGAGAGGAAGAAATTTATGTCGTAAGTAAACCTTTTTATTTTTCCAAGCAAATGATACAGAATACCTGTCTGTGCTTGAAGGCTGTTGTTTGTAAATTTTCAGAATCAGTATGACCAGACATCCCACACCCAGTCTATGTGGTTTGGCCAGAGACAAAGCTGAACTCTTCAGGGAACGCTACACAATTTTACAACAGGTTAGAGCAACTCACTGTTCTTACAACGCTCATTATTGTAATGAGTCTGTATAAAGTTCCAACATTTTATTTATTTGTCCTCTGTTTTATTCATAGCGCACACATAGACACGAGCTCTTCACCCCTCCTGCAATAGGAAGTGCTGTTGACGAGGGTCAAAATAAGTTTCAGGTATTCATTTATATCACTTCATTACTGAGGTACAACTGCATTCACTAACCATTGGTGTTGTTTCTGTCTTTATTTTTCAGCTGAAGACAATCGAAGCCTTGCTTGGCAGCACGTCTAAGCTGAAAGAGGTGATCGTACTTGGAATGATCACACAAATGAAAGAGGTTAGTTAGTACAAGAGAAACAGATTCAAGTTTTGGTCTAGATATTGAAGCTTTTTTAAACATTCAAGACTTTTAAACTTTTTTTTTTTTGTTTCAGGGTAAATTTTACCTTGAGGACCTCAGTGGAACAGTCCAGCTGGACATGTCTAAAGCAATATCCTTTATTATATTATTACAACAAAAATACTAATTTATATTTTTTCACACTACTCAGATAGTTGTTTCCTTAGTGTTGTTTTCACCAGTTTCATAACGGTCTGTACACAGAGTCCTGCTTTGTGTTAGCAGAGGGTAAGATAACTACAAAATATACAACAAAGTATTGTAGGCAGTAAAATAAATGATTGAAAATAAAGGTAAACCACGATGTTCTGGTTGTTATGAATGAGGTTTTGTTTCTTATCCATTAGGTTGGTATGAGGACTCTGTTTTCCATGTCAATGGCTTCGGTTTCCCTCCCACTGAACCATCGTCGGCCGCACGGTAAGTTTTGTGCTTTTGGTTGGCATATGTGTCTGATGGGTGTCAGTGTTTGTCGTCTCTATAGTAATGTGAAGAATACTTGTGAATGTTTCCTGTTCCACTGAAGGACTGGAAAGCATTTTCCTGACATACACTTACAATTACCACAAGATATGCGATAATGTCACATCCTGGAAAAGTTCTGAATAATCCTCCATTAATGTAGTACTTCTCAAATAGTGGAGTGGTGCTCGCGGGGGGGTGAGGGGTCGAGGGAAGGGGTGAATATGGCATGCTGGACATAAGTGTACCACTGCTGTAATGCATGAATGACAACAAGCATCCAGTCACTAGGTGGCAGCAACTCATACAGTGGTTCGTACAGATAAAAGTATACATGTTATCAGGTTTTCAAAAGTATTTCAATTTGCGGGGGTGTGGATCGGGGGAACTGGTGGGCCATTTCTGTATCCAAGGGGGGGCAAAACAGAAATTAAATTGAGAACCACTGCATTAATCCTATCCAGTGTTAACATGACTTCTGCATTGTTAAATTAATGACCCTGAACCTGTTCTTTTTCTAGTGCTTATTATGGCAACATAAACTTCTTTGGTGGACCTTCCACCACCTCAGTGAAGGCCTCTGCCAAACTTAAGAAGCTGGAGGAGGAGAATGAAGATGCAATGTTTGTAATTATTTCCGATGTGTGGCTGGATAGTGTTGAAGTTATGGAAAAGCTGAAAGTCATGTTCTCAGGTCTGATATTTTAAATTTATACTTTGAACAATGTATAAGGAACCAGCATATTCAGCTTAACATTATCTTCTTTTTTACAGGTTATGCAGCAATGCCTCCAACCTGTTTTATCTTTTGTGGAAACTTCTCATCTGCACCATATGGTAGAACGCAGCTCACATCACTCAAAGGTAACACTGCTAGATCGCCATCATCCTTGTGTGTGTTTGTAAATGGACAAATCACAGCATTAGTTTTCCTGTTTGTTTTGTTTTTTTAGAGTCACTGAAAACTCTTGCTGATGTCATATGTTCCTACCCTAGCATTCACAGCAGGTACATTCTATAACATTTTACCCTTTTACATTCTCTATTATTAAAGTTTTCATGGTTGTCTGTATGTTTTTGTTTTTTTTATTGGTTTATCATAAACTTGCAGTAGTCGCTTCGTGTTTGTCCCTGGTCCAGAAGACCCTGGTCCAGGCACCATTCTGCCAAGGTAAGTATTGTCTACGATATAGTATTTTAACAGACATCAGGTATTTGACTTGATGGTGTCAGGTGTGTTGATTTGTTTAACTAATCTAAGTAAAATGTTTCCCATAGGCCTCCCCTGGCTGACCACATCACTGAGGAGTTCAGACAGAGAGTGCCGTTTTGTGTTTTCACAACCAATCCATGCAGGTGAAACCAACATGTAACTTTATTTGCACATTAAAACATAATTATGTTTTTTATAGTAATAGCTGCAAATCATATTTGCATGCTTAAAGGCTTGAGGAAAATGTATCCAACCCTATAAAACTGACATCTTCTTGTTGCATGTTTTTCATGTTAGAATCCAGTACTGCACACAGGAAATTGTAGTGATCAGAGAAGACCTGGTCAACAAAATGTGCAGAAACTGTGTCCGGTTACCCACCAACAGTCTTGACATTCCAAATCATGTGAGTTAAATGTTCTCTGACTCTAAACCAACCTATTTAAACATGAGTAAAAAATATATTTTCTGGTTTGTGTTAGATGTAAGCTTCTATTTTTTATACCTTTATATTTAGTGTATGGTTGTGTTCAACCTAACAGAACAGGGTTGGATATTAACGAAGTTGTGAGTAAATCAAATCTAGAAGATCTTATCTCATTTCATAAGTTTTTCAGGATATTTTTGTTTTGTGGTGTGCAGTGGGATTTTTCTGATGTAAAATAAGCACATTGGCTCAAAAGGGGTTGGGAATCACTTCAACAAAGCTTGTCATTTCTCTCCAGTTTGTCAAGACCATCCTGTCTCAGGGTCACCTGACCCCCCTACCTCTCTACGTTTCTCCTGTGTTCTGGGCCTACGACTATTCCCTGCGTGTCTATCCAGTCCCTGACGTCATTGTGTTTGCAGACAAATATGATCCCTTCAGCATCACAAATACAGACTGTCTCTGCCTCAACCCGGTATAAAAGACATACTAGTAGAATGTTGTCATCTTTTCACTAAACTGTATGAGATCTTTCATTAAATGTAATTCTTCCATACTGTTAACATCTTGCCAATACTTGCTGCTTTTACAGGGATCATTCCCACGAAGTGGTTTCACATTTAAGGTCTACTATCCCTCCAACAAAACTGTGGAGGACAGGTAAGATAAACTCTCCATATTCTTTGTTTACTTTTTTTAGGATATGACAAAAATGTACTATCTGGGATCAACAATTTTAATAAGTATTTTCTGTTCATATTTTCTGTTATTACAGCAAACTACAGGGGCTCTAATGAAAGTCATGGATAACAACAGCAACAGGGCTCATTTGGTTTTGTACAATAATTTTGTATATTTTTCTATTTTTAAAACTTAAAGTGTAGTGTTTGAGTTTTGAATGTATGTTCTGTCTTGAATAATAAAGTATTCTGTATTCTTCTCTTTTTGTTGAATTAATATTAACAAATGAATGCATTTAGAATCATGCAAAATTTCAAGACATACTGTATGTTGTAGTAGATCCTATATAGACATACTGTATGTTGTAGTAGATCCTTCTGCAACTGCACTGTCATATACTTGATGCATAATTTTTACTATAATCTTTTTTTAGATTAATATATGTATACTCTTCCTGCTCTATTTTACTGTCTTGGCTTTTGAGCGTCTGTACCGCTTTTATGTTGACCGTATTAAGATGGCGGATTCTAAAAGTCGACAACTTCCGGTCGATCCCCCAGAGTTCTTGTGATGACCTCACATAAATGGCGTACTGCTGCTTGAAATTCGAAGGGAAACAAACAACAAACATAAGCAGTAGGAATAACAACAGGTAAGGCTATATTAGTAATGCTCAAATGTTTTTTCGTATTTGCTCTGAAAAACAAGTCAAAAATATAAAATACGAAAATGTTTTTCCTTGTATTGTTAGCCAAGAGGTTCGCAGACGTTAAAAGTATGTCAGGGTTGGGTAGGATACAGCAAAAAACGCCAACCAACCCCTTCAATCGCATGGAAACCAGTTAACGTTGTCCTAGGTCGTTCATAGTTTCTTGTTTCAAAAGCTACGTTTACAGGTAACTGTGATCGAGCAACCTAAATGTATAAGCTATAAACGCTAACAAAGTAGGTCAAGAGTAACCGTGCAGTGAGTTAAGCTGTCTGCAGGGTTCTGTCTTGAATTGATTGAAAAAACGCGAAGACAGTGACGTGGGCTTAAAAAAGTTATGGCTGCTGAGGAGAAATTGCATTTTTTAAATGCACTAGTCATCAATGTTAAGTTTTGTCATTTAACTAGGGCTTCGTTATTAAGTGAAATACATTTGTGAGAAAAGAACAGACACGACATGAGATAATGAAAATATATTGTTGGGACCTAGGCTAATGGACAAATCAAAAGGGCATTTTCAGCTGTGATTTTTTTTCCAAACTTCTCTGCAGCATAGTGATACCTAAGGCCACACAGTGGAAGAGTGGATAATGCATTTGCATTAAGGCAAGGAAGTTATTCGTTAAATCCCCAGTGGTAAGTGGTGGTCCAGTTTTCATGTGTTAGTTTAATCTGTGCCGTAAGAAGGGAGCAAGTCCAGAGAGCAATTCACTAAAGTCAGCATTTCTTAAGTAATTGTGAGGTCAGTGAGTTACTAAAAATCCTGACTTGTAGCTTTTGTATGTCCAGATAAAAGAAGCATGGCGGATAGAATGGAGGAGGACGTGGAGGAAGTGCCAGCAGAAGAAGACGACATGGACTCAGACAGAGAGGAGGAAGATGGACTATTTGATTGGATTGTACATGAGGAGATGGACGAGGAGGAGGAAGAGGAGGTGGAGGTGGAGGAAGAGGACAATGAACAGCCCATAGACACTGAATCCTCGGAGTCATTCGAGTTGGACATGCCGGCTGAGAGAAGTGGTCACATCGCAGTTGTTGACCGAAATGTCATGTATGTGTGGGGGGGATACAAGGTAAGTTCAAACATCCAACCAGCCATGTTAATATTGTTTTACCTGCAGATTATTATAAATCTAACGGTTAATTCTTTCACACCTATTGTCAGAATGCTCAAAACCACGGATTCTTCGACTTGTATCTGCCGCGAAATGAAATCTGGGCATACAACATGGAGTCAGGCGTCTGGTGAGTCTGGATTTCAATTACTCAATATTAAATAATGAAGCACACTAAAAATCTAATTTTGTGATAAGTTTATTCAATTCAAACATTTTCAAATAATCTAAAAAGTAACATGTGACACATTTGTAACATTTCTTTAAATATTTTTAGAAATATAGAAACATTTTCTTAAATATATTTGTTTAATTGTACAAACAAAATAGTGCTGTAGTGTGACAGGTTTTGTTGTTTTGTTTATTGCTTCTTGTAGCTTATTGTTTTTGTGTGTTCATTTTCTGGTCCTTCTGTTGGGGATAAATAGTGTATCATTGCATTATCCATGAACTGTAATCTCTTGTCAAATCAACATTTATTGTCTAATGTTTCCAGGACAAAGCGCGTGACTGGAGGAAACCTGCACACCTCCATGTCAGGCAGCTGTGGTGTGTGTGTCGATGGCGTCCTCTACCTGTTTGGTGGTCATCATGCAAGAGGAAACACAAACAGGGTGAGAATGATGTCATGAATTCCTTGATATGTGCTTGTTATCTTTGCTTCGTCTGTGTTGGAAAGATTTTTTTTTTTTAAGTCCTATTCTGTGCGGTTACAGATTTATCGCCTGCCCTTGAGAGCACGCAGCCTCGTGTGGGAGGAAATGACAAATCTGGAAGGACTTCCTCCATCCTCCAAGGACAAGTTAGGATGCTGGGTTCACAGAAACAGGTGTGGAATTCTTTTATTTCCTTTAATTATGAAAAATGACTCTATATAGGTATATAATATTGGAGGAGCTCATTTGGAAACAAGCTTTCCTGAGACATTTAGGGCCAGCTGTAAAAAACCTGTTGTTAGAAGACAACGATTGAAGACAATTGTTTTTTTTTTATGGTTAAGAATGTAGTCTGTTATTATAAATTAATTGTATACATTGGAATCTCATTTGTCAAACTCCTCTCTTTTCAAATAATTTAGTTCACAAACAAAATTTTTAAGCCAATATTATCCTGGTTGTCCTGGTGGACATCTAATGTGGCATCAGTTTTGCCTCGGCTCAGGATATACACACTAAGAACTGTTGTCTGATATTGTCGGTATTTCTTCTATTTTTTTATTCCAGACTAATATTCTTCGGTGGCTACGGCTACGCTGCTCAGGGACCTCATCGAGGCACATTCGAATACGACGACTCAGCGTCTTTTGTGGTCTGTGAACAAAATCAGTTTTTAAACACCTGCACAGAAAAAACATCTAGTAATAGTTAATAATAAACTAATAATAACTAGTTTCATGAATACTGTTTATTTAAATTGATAAATGCTGCTGTCTTAGTATGACTTTTTTTCACTGCTGCAGTGGGAAAGCCCTGGGCGAGGTTGGAACAATCACATTCACATCTTGGACTTGGAGGCATTGACATGGAGTCAGCCCATAACCACAGTAATCAGAGTTAATTTGTGACAGTAAAATTTAAAAAAAAATGGTGCTCTGTAGTTAATTTTTCTTTCTGTCTTGTCGTAGGGTAACACTCCGTCACCCAGAGCAGCTCATGCCTGTGCCACAGTTGGCAACAGAGGTTATATGTTTGGGGGAAGATACAAGGTGAGATTTTCTTTTTTGACACACAATTTTTTACAACTATAGAGATAATATGAAGAAGTTTCCACTGAAGTCTTCTGTGTTCAACAGAACTTCAGACTAAACGACTTGTACTACATCGACCTGGACACATGGGAATGGCATGAAATGTACGTATTGTTCCTTTATTTTTCTACTAGGTGACAGTGTGTGAGTTAGTGATCTAAATTTAAATTAGACTATAAGAGGGGGCAGTAGAGATGTGATGAGAAGTTTTTTTTTTCCCCTTCTAAGGTGGCTCGGACAAACTTTGATTTCCTGATTGGACAGTCACTGAACTTTGATCTTATATCCAAACATAAGTAGCTGAAAAGATCATTAACGGCTAGTCATAAGAACATATTGAGTTAACCAACAGCTTTAAAAAAGTTTTTTAAAAATTCAAAAATTGACTTAAAATATAAAGGCTTTGCCCTTTAAAATGGGAATTTGTAAAATGTACAACCATTTACATTTTTAATTTACAGCCGTGTTATAATTCTCTCTGTGAGAGAATTACAACAGTTTCAAACGTCACAGTGATTTCTGACTCTTCTTCTTCCTTCTGTGTAGGACTCTTCCTCAGTTGTGTCCCGTGGGCCGGTCCTGGCACTCCTTCACCCCCGTCTCCCCAGACCACATCTTCTTATTTGGTGGTTTCACCACAGAAAGGGAGACACTAAGTGAGTCTCGCCACGACACTGAGTCTGAGATCCACGACTATCATTTCCAGCTCAAACATGAGCTTCTCATTTTCTATCTCTGCAGGTGATGCCTGGCTCTACTGTGTCACCAAGAACGAATGGAAGCCTTTCAATCACAGTCACACACAGAGCCCCAGGTAAACATCGCCTCCTGCTGTAAACACCTGGTTAGGTTTGAGAAAAGAACAGCTTGAGTTCTATTCTGCTTGTGTGTTGTTCAGACTGTGGCACACAGCTTGTCCTGGTCCTGACGGAGAGGTGTTTGTGTTCGGGGGTTGTGCCAACAACCTGTTGTCTCAACACAGAGCTGTAAGTTACACGTTATACCCCTTGTGTTACCATAGTTACCAACAGGTTTCTAACACGTTTTGCATTTTCACTGTCATTCTTCGGTCTTTGGCCAATGAACAAAGGTTCTAGTAAATTTGTTTTTTCTAAAATATTTTAAACTGGTTAACAAGTGTAAATCATTGTTTATTTTTACCACTAAATCTGCATATTTTCTTAATTTTTAAAGGCTCACAGCAACGAGTTATTGGTTTTCAACGTCCTACCAAAATCACTGGTCGGGTGAGTTCAGTGTAAAACAAAAGCATCACTTTACCAACTGATTGATTTCTTCTTTTTTTGCTGACAAGTTGCTGTGTTTGTGGCCTTCAGCTTCTGTATGGACCTGATCCTGCAGCACAGGGAGCGTTTGTCCAGTCACTGGGACTGTCTGCCCAAGTCCATCCTGCACAGCCTCAAACAGAGAATGACACGGGTCAACACACTGGGATCGTAGACTGTAAGAAGCGGCGCGACAATCTAAGCCAGGGTGTATCTACTGTACAGTAGCTGATGGTAGCCTCCCTCAGAGCAGGTAACACCGTGACTGTGGTCACACTTGTATTTGAACTCTGTGGTTCAAGTTCGCTGTTTGAGTGACCTGAACAGCTGTAGCACTGTTTAAGTTAACCATAGACTGTACATGTAACTAGACAAAGCTGTGGTTTTAGAGGGTGAGACGTCCAGACGTGCTAACCTTCTGCAGAAGTGACACAGTTGTATAGGAGTCTATTTCAATTCTCCCTGCATTTCTAGAATCAGTGATCATTTGAAGAAGATCACAGCCTTCTGAGGTCAGTTCCTGTTCTCCTGTAGGATATGAGGTCAGCTTAGAGAATCACAATCACACATGGATAGAATGAGAGGATAACATAAAACTTAGAGGGTAAATCTGATTGGTCACCAGCTGCATTATTGTAAACTATCAATCACACATGATGGCCAGTCATATTCAGCCTCTGACTTCTATATTCTTACTCTCTGTCCACAAACGATTAAAATGTTCCTGATGTTTTGTAGACGACCCAAAACTATGTCTTAGGCCAAAGTCCTGAGGAGCAATAAAAAAAACTCGCCAAACCTGAGGCCTGCAAACATAAACACACCCTGTAGTTCAAACTTTTGTAACAAAGGATTGGCCAGTATTATTCAATTTTCAAGATGCAAAAAATACTTCTTTTTTTTTTTGGATTAATTTTCTATTTTATCAGGTGAAATATAATCTTTGATTTACAACATGGGCGTGTTTAGTTGAACACAAAGTTGATATACTGGCAGGAATCAAAGAAATGACAAAACAAATGATCTGCATTAAATAAAGCCTAGTTTTCAGACCAATTCAAATAAATTGGATAATTTCTTTTTACTGATCAAAGATAGAGGATTTTTATTGGCCTACGTACAATTCCATCCTTACTGCCATCAGTAGAGCACTTCCTGCATTCTTGTGTGGCCCTTTAACCTCAGCCTGTAACTGTTGTAGACGTGTCCAATGTTCATCTACGGTCTATGGTTTTAACTGAACAAAATTCATCAAGTGTGAGCACAGCCGAACTGCAAAGCAACAGTTGCCAGCAGTCAGCGCTAACGTTTGTAGGTCCTTCGATGACTCTCTCTTGTTGATTATTGTCTAGCAGTCACTAAGCCAGTAGAACTGTCAGTGGAGCAGCAGTGCTGTTGTTGGCACAGAGGCATCTTTAATTTTTTTTTTGTCCTGTAAAATTATTTTTGCTGCACCCTCTGATAGGGTAAATTTGTTTCAGTTCATATTTATCACGAGAGAGTGGTTTGCATAAGTCTCAGCCCCCCCTTGACACCTGCCTTATTTATTCTTTACCAAATGTTGCCTCCAGTTTTTACAGGGGTATTTTTGAGATAGATTTTTGTTTGGTTTGGAAACTATTTCACTGACATGTTAACAGCATTACCAGCTAATGTACAGTGTGTTTAAAATCCCTTTGCGTGGAATGTCCACATCAGCCATTTCAAATAGAAATTTTCTATTTTTGGACAAACTCTGTTTCCCTATTAGCCAAGGATTTAAAGGCAGTCAAGGCAGTGGCTAAAATGTGTCTAAAACTTATGAACATTATCTTAAAGTAGCTTCTTTTGAGAAATGAAACACATTCTAAAAGCAGGATTTTGAGAAATAATCACAGACTGGTGGCTCTAAATTGTTGACGTAAATAAAAGTAAATTCTTGAGTCGAAATCTTCCAAGAATGTGAGACGACCTGTGCACAACACAAGTGTTTGTCACTCATTATTGATGAAATTCTGCAGAGTTATTTCTCACAGCAGCTAAAACACTCCAACAGCAGTGATCAATGTCTCTACTTTTTTTTATAGTTTATGGACAGAAAACCAGTACTTGATCTTTAACTGAAATAATCCTTATGTCATGTGATTGTAGAAAAGCAGGCAGGATCTAAGTTTTTTTTCACCATCGTTCACATAATAATCTTCATATTGCAGTTTAACATACGTGAAATTTACTGGATAAAGATCCATAGCTACTAATGTCTTAAAACTTGAGGCTAAGTTTTTTTGGAGTAAAATTTTCTGCAAGAATAATTAATATTTTGGATGTTTTCGTTGAAGGTTCTTAATCACTTCACTGTGTATATATTTATTTATTCTACATATTTGTGAATTCTTGTGTTGGTTTGTTCTTCTTTAAAAAAAAAAAAAAGCTTTGAACTGATGGAGTTCAGTGTGTGTTTCACTCAGACACCTCCACTCAGTCAGGCTTGGTTTTTGCCCAGTTTGCACAAATGTTCCTTTTCTGTTTTTTTTTTGTTTTTTTTTAAGTGTTATCTTTGTAAAGAAAGAATAAACACATACAGAAAGTTCCCTATTTATTCATTTACATGTCTTATTTCAACCTTTGGGACAACAAATACAGCAATTTAAAAATAAAACATAATTATTCTCCTATGTACTGCGGTCAATATCTGGATTCTCATAATTACAGATTGGATGACGTTGAGGGCGGGGTCACTGTGAATGTCTTTAAGATTTTCTCCAGTCTGTTATTTCTTCTTGGCAGCCAGCAGATTTGGAGCAGACACTTTGACTTTCCCCGGCATGTTCCTGAACAGGTCTGTGTCCTGAAACAAAGGATGTTGGGAATTAGAAACTAGACAGTATTTTAAAACAAATAACACCACAACGGAAAAGTCTACATTTATTCCCTGATTTGGTTAAAAAAAATGAAACTCATTGCATTACACCTCTGAATGTGTCAAAGTAAAAGTCTCTATGTACTTTATATTATAATTATTTTTAATATTTTTGTAATTCTATCTCTACATTATTATTATTTATAGAGAGGGTTTTTGTTTTGTTTGTTTTTTTCATTTAAAACAAAAGTTACATTTGGAGTCTCACGGTACTCAACACAGCCAGTATCTGCAGTATTTTTCATTTAAAACAAAAGTTACATTTGTTACTCAACACAGCCAGTATCTGCAGTACGTGGTGTTCAGCTTTATGGTAAGTATTGCTTTTAAATACTTTATATTCTTAAATGTATACATTTTAATCTGATTTATCACACTGCATCTACTGGTTTATCATAAATAATTCTGATTAGCAAACACTGCTAAATGTAACGATTTTTTATTTGTTATGAAAAATACAAATGATGGGGAAAAATGTCAAGAATGCAATGTGAAAGTTTTAATACGATTAATCTTCACAAATTATTTAACGTAATTATCACTATCAATTGTGACAGCCCTAATAATTATGTACGATGCCATTACGAACCTGTACAAACTGCTAATGTGTCATTCTTCGTTAACACCTCATTCCACCCTGAACAATAACAGACATCTTTACCTTGACGCTGCGGAACAAGTCCTTCTCTCGGGCCGAGGATTCTTTAGCTTTCATGAAGCTGAGCAGAGCAGTTCGAGCAGCTGGGAGAAATTCAACAACATAACTTGGTATGTTTTATGTAAATATATATAAAAAAGTAAATGTCAAAAACAACCTACCTTTTCCTTTCTTCTGAGAACCTGGTGTCAGTTTAACTTTGTGTCTGGTAGTAAAAATAATAAAAGACACTCGTTAATTTTGTGGATTTTTTTTTCTTTAGGGGATGAAGTGATGAATGCACCTACTTGTAGTTGGTGAGGGCAGTGTACGGAGCACAGACGGGAACCGCGAACATCAGTACGTCCTCAGGATGAGGTTGACCCGTCAAAGAGGTGAGGAGATTTTCTGCTTCCTAGATTAAAAAAAATATTTAAAGACCATAGAAATATTACTCGATTCATCTGAAGCTGAGATTTCCTTTTTTCGATGGGAGCTAGATATGATTTATAAAAAATGACTGCTAACTTCTCAACTTTTAAAAACCAAGAAAAAATTATTGTTAAATGCAGAGTGAAATGCTAAAGGTAAGTCAAAAACTAGCTGTGAGAGTAGGAGAAATGAGGGAAAATGTAGAAACAGCTCAGGAGTAGCTAGTAGCTTAGCAAAGCAAAAAACTTAACAGCTTAAAAACTAATACTAATGGTAACATTGCTTTTACTAATAAATATACTATAATTACTTTAAATGTATTATACAAACTAACCTCTGCTCCAGGGTTGTCCTGGTCCACGTCGTCCTCCTTGTAAATACAAAAAGAAAATACTAGTGAATTTAAAACGAAAAGTTACTTCAGGTTATGACAAATGTTTACTACAATTACAGAATAAGCAGTGATTTTCACATTTGTTTTTGTTTTTTTAATTCCATAAATAAAAGTTCATAGATACGCATGGTGTTTGTGACATGTTGACATTTGAATCTTTATGATTGTGATCATGTTCTCCTCTACCTTGTCCTCCTCAGCAGGACCTCCTTCCTCTCTAATCGGCTTTTCCTCCTCACCCTTCTCCCCTCCCGTCTGTGCTGGCTTTTTGGTCAAATTCTCTGTATTGTGAGGTTTCTGAGGTTGTTTCTGAGTCGGGGGTTTTTTGACGGGCTCCTGTTTTCCTTTTCCCTTTTTTCCCTTCTTCCCCTTGTCCTTCTCCTCCTTTGCTCTGGCAGACTGGAGGAGGAACACACATATCTAACATTAGCATCAAAATATTGTTGACAACAAAAGATTGTTTAAAAAAACAAAATAGGAGGAAGATTATTTCATATTTGTCCTCGCTCTTGTCCTCCTCCTCACCCCCAGCAGCTGCATCATCAGCTCCCTGTCTTCTTCATCCTGGTCCCTGTATTTCTCTTTAATCTTCTTTAGTTTGTTCTGGAACAGAGAAAAATACGTAAATAAATAAATAAACGAAAATAAATCCAGTTGATAAAAAAAATGAAATAGTTACAAAACACAGAACACACAACAGAATAAAATAACTACATTTAATTTTCCTATCAGTTTTACTTTTAATTCTAAATACAATATTAAAAAATTCTGTTCTATACCAATATTTACTTTTTCAAATATCCTTTGTTAAATACTGTTTTTGCAGAAATCTGATTTTTTTTTTACATTTTTGATAAAAAATATATTTACATTTTTGACCATAAGAGAGAGAGAGACAGTATTTCTGACCTTCTGACCTCTTTTCAGAGGCTGCTGGGAGGAGGACCCATCTCCTTTTCCTCCACCTCCTCCTTTGGATCCCTGATCAGCAGCTGCTCCTCCTGTGGAGGTGACATCGCTCTTCTCCTCAGCGTCACAGCCATCCTGTTTCTGTTTCTTCTTCTTCTCTTCTCTAAAGATAAAACAAGAAAAAACTTTAATTTAAAAAAAAAAAATTTTTTTAAATGCTCCAGAAAGTTGAGGCCTGTGGACCAAATTAAAGCCATCAAGACATGTTAAATTAAACATACTACAAAGAAGTACATTTAATTTGGAAGTAAGTATTTTTCCTTCCTAAGAAGTAAAAATAAATAAATATATATATATATATAACACCAACACTTATGACCATGTAGTTGATGTGGCCTCAGGCTGACAGTGACTTTGACATCCATGATCAGTCCGTTCACTCACCTCCTCTGCTTGGCAGTCATGTGTTTCTTCCCCTGTGAGTCCACCTCTGGCTGAAAATAGAATTTATATCACTGACAGAAATTCATATCTCTATACATACCTGTTACAAAAAACAAGAAAATGATACCTCAATGTTTGGTTCTTTTTTGAAAGCCATGTTCTGAAATTCTCTGGAGACAGAAACTGACAATTAATTAATTATCTGACAAAAAAAAGTGCAGTTCAGCTAACGACCTGTAGTCTTTGGTGATGATACCTGCTGGGCTGTAAATGAGCCAAAGAGATGGTCGTGTCTGGAAAAGCAAAGTCCTCATTCTCCATGTCCTGTGTGTCATCCACATTCTCATTATCATCTAGGTCTTCCTCCACGTCGTTCTGCTCTGACCCCGTCACATCTTCATCTCCATCTTCTCCAGGCTCTGTGGGATTGGCCTCCCTGGTCTCATCATCATCATCACCATCTTCATTTTCCTCTTTTATCTCTTCCATCATCTCTCCATCTCCTCCTGCAGTTCCTTCTCCCTGATTCTCATCACCGCTGTCGTCACCTGGCGAAGCAACAGGAGATGGTGTCATACTCGAGGACAGTGATCAACAACAGAGCACTCGAGGTCCACGCCCTTGTGTCCTCCTGTGTCCTCCCACCTACGAGCTCCTCTCCGTCCTCCAGCAGTTCAGCAGTTCTGGACTTCTCATCCTCCATATCTTCCTCCACAGTCTTCACCTTTCTCTCCCCCTTGTGTCGGAACACACTCATTTCATCCACCTGCAGAGGGGACAAGAAGGAAAGCAAAAACATTGACTTTTAGTCTGAGGCCCGGAGAAAACCAAAAATCACCAAAAATGGGTGATAAATAATAACATATATAACATAAAGGGGGATGAAAACTGTACAAAAGCGAAGTACTTGATATAACCTTGAAGAGAAATCCAAATCCCATAATCAAGTATGACGGTGGCAGGAAGTTTTTCTTTCCTGAAGAGAGAAAAAAAAAAAACACAAAATTATAACTTTATTATTTAAAAATATTTTTTTTAAAAAGAGTTCCCACAATTTTTTTTTTACCTCGGATCATGAAGCTTCCTGTGGTCAAATACTCTCCTGTGGGAGCTGTTTTAGACACCTGAACCAAAAAATACACAACATCACACACAAGCGGTGCCTTATATTTAATAAACAGCTCCTTAAAAAGAATTCACACAAAATGTGACTTATAGCCTGAGGATGTGCCTCCTGAGGGACAGACATCATCACTCATTAGACTTGTAGTAATGACTGACCTGATTGTGGTGGACCCACCAAGCACTGGTGATAATTTTAGCGTCCCAGGCCGCACTGTAGCAGATAGCCATGGTTCCAGCCTCCGTCAGGCTGCGAGGGGGAATGGGATTACCTGGGACGTTGGTGGAAAGATTTGTCAAAATTAAATTTAAACAAACAAGTCACAAATAGAGAAAGAAAAAAAAGTTCATGTACCTGTGGGGTTTTTAATGACACAACTGGTAGCTCCGTGGAGGTCAGCGTGAACATAGACGTCACCTGGAAAGGTTAAAGTGCAAGTTACAAGCAATCAGCAAAAGCTCTTTAGATATATATTTAGTATATATGGTAAAATATATTCTGGTATAGCTATACTTGTTAGTAAAATTTCTTTTAAAAAAAAATTCACACTGTCCTTGCGGGGACCAAAATGTCCCCACAAAGACAGAGGGCACTTTTGAATCCAAAACTTAATTTGGTGTTAAGATTAGAACAACGTTCACATTAGAGTCAGCGTCAGGGTTAAGATTAAGCATATATTGTGAAAAAAATTAGAGTCAGCGTCAGGGTTAAGATTAATCATATATTGTGAAAAGCTCAGAAATTTCTAAAAAAGTGTGTATGTGTGTGTGTGTGTCCATTACCAGCTCTGAGATATCGCTTTACAATTATCTCATTTTGCTGCTGGTCCCTTCCTGCAATGACCAGGTAATTCTCCGAGCTGACGAACCAGAGGAACTTCTCAAACCTGCCACAAGAGAGCGGTATAGTTCAATACAATTTCAATCCTGATTTTGAAGAATATGATCACGGTATAAGTTGTATTTACCAGTAGACCTTCCTGGCCTTCTGAATGGTGGTCACTGTCTGGACCTCCTTCAGAGTTTGATGTGTTTTCTTCTCTGCAGATTTCATGGCCTGGATGATGGGGAAAAAAATCATGTCAGTGTCATGTGACCTCTGAAGTACAACATTGTTGGAAAATAACAAAGAAGTTCTGGACCTTTCCTGCTGCTTCCAGCGTCTTCTGCTCCTTCTTTTCAGCGCTGCGTTTGTAGTCATAGTACCTAGGAGAAAACATGTGGGTCCATTTTAGACATTTTAAGGACAGAGTATTTTCAACTCATTTAGTTTTAGTTCACCTTTTGGCGTTAGCGTAGGCAGACAGACTGAGGTCCACATCAACCAACATGGGTTTGTTCTTCTGCAGCTTCTTGTGTTGTCCTTTGTCTTTGTTCTTGTTTTTCTTCCCCTTTTCCTCCTTCACATCCTTCTCTTCCTCTTCCTGGTCTTCCTCAGAGATATAGGGATTCCTACAGCATTACAAAGAAAAGTTACTGTGAGAAAGTCCAGTATTCTTAAACTATCAGGGACAATACAGAAGAAGGGATTCATTACTATTTTTCAATCAATATATTACAAACTATTTTTTTTGAAATATAGATGTTTAAGAAATCTTTAAGAAATATAAACATTGACATTTTTTACCCAAATGCTTCCCTTTTTCAAACATGAAAATTCAAAGACAAAGATTCTTAACTTGTGACTTTTAGCTTGTTCTTAGATAAGTTCTTGATCGGGCTGTAAGAATTACTAATGAAGAACGTTTTTGCTTTTTTCCGAGCTGTATGAACCAGATTGTCTAACAATGTCTCTATTATGTTTTTTTTTTCACATTTCAATCTTTCAGACACAGGTATCCAACCCACATCCTCTCCAAAAGTCATGATAGCAGTGAAGTAAAAACCTGATCGATGTTCTTACTTCAGAAGCATGGTAATATGGTTGGTCTGCAGCTTCAACTCCTTAATGGCTGAGGCCACAGGGTCTCCAGCTGCCTGTGCTTCCTTCACAATGATGCCGATCTCCGTCCAGTCCACCTGATTGGCCAAGGCGCTGCGCACCACCTGCAGTGCCCTCTCCACTATGGGTAGGTTCATCTCTATCAGCTCACCTTTGACTCTGTCTACCTCCTACAACACATCCATGGAGATTTTCTCTACTTACTTTGGTGTAGAAGATGTAAAAGTTTATGAATCTAAACAACTGTATGAACAAAGAAGACCAGTTTCCCAACACAGACCTGTGCCTGATGTAAAGCATCCAGTCTCTGCTCATGGTCCCTCTTGACATTTTCCAGTTTTTTCAGAGCTTGTTTCTCCTGTTGCAGGGCCTTCATGTCGATCTTCTGACTCTCCATCTTTGAAAAGAACTCGTCCACTGCCTTAGAGAACAGGATCACATCTGAGTCATCTCACACAATCTGCTAACATACCCATGTGGAAACATTCAGGAAGCCGTCAGGTACTGTTTTAACTGTTTTCAACTACCATTATTGCCTGGAAAAAGATCTGTGACTGAGTTAGCTGTGATGCATGTGTGATAGAAGCAGCTGATTATAAGCCAGAAATTGTTAGATATTATCTGAACATAAATAAAAGATACACCCCTCCAAAAAATTACTTTTGCTAGTAAAAGATGACCAAATGTTATGATGAAATTAGCTGTAATTCAAAACCAAGCAAAAATAAAAGCAATGAAGCCAAATCAAGTCAAAAAGGGCTAAAAGATTAGTAAAATTTAGTTATAAATTGCAACTATAAAGGTAAAACTTTAGTAAAAAAATGTATTAATTAATTTACCAAAAGTGGTTAAAATTAGCTGAACGGTGAATAAAATATACACAGTAATAACTTCACTGAAATAATGGACTAGATAATCTTCTAAAAACATGCTGGTCATAAAGTGTGGAAAAATCCTTTACCTTGTCAAAACTGTCAAACTCCAAATAGTGGCTTTTGACATGCTGGGCAAAGAGGAATGGGTGGAATTCATCATATCTGAGGAAAATGTCGTCGTATAAGTATGTAAATTAAATTTGAAAATAGAGAGAGAAAAAAATATATATGTATATAAAGTGATCCTGAGTTCAGGGGTTTTGCATTACACAACACAGGACATACGTCAGCAGCTCTTCACTGGGTTTACCAGGAGTTACACATGGTTTCTTCTCACACTTTTGTATCACGTAACCCTGAGACAAAAGAAAAAAGAAAACTTTTGATGAGGTTCAAAAGTGAAAACAAACAAAGCAGGATTACGATTCACCGCAGCCTCACTTTTCCACTAAAGCTCTCTGTTTTTCCCATGTACGTCTCTGCAATTTGCAAGGCTTCCAGAATTTTAGGAGCAACTGAAAAAAGATAAGATGTTTAGAGTGACATTGAGTTAGAAAACATACAGAAAAGCCTTAAAAAATCACAGATGTCATTTTTTTTTAATACCTTGGCTGGGATCAGCTTGAGCGTCGACTTTAACAGAACCCGACAGTCCAACTTCTATCAAGCTGTGTTCAATTAATGTGGCACCGTACTCTGGAGAAAAGATTGGAAAAGAAATGTTATGATTTAATGTTTGCCTTAGTAAAAGCATCTTTGTGTTGTAATCAGATGGTTTGTTTCGGATGGAATGTGTTGCTTAGCTACTCACGAAGGTGTGGATTTAGGACTCTTTTCACTTGCTCCCCATTTGGTGCTTGGCTGAGAATTTCTGTGAGTCTACGTATTGAAATATAGAATTTTTTTTTTTTTACCTGACTTCATTTTTGGTACAATGTTTATCAAGAGAACGCTACTGAGAGGTGTGGAAACGTTACCTTTCCAGGCTGATGAGAGGTTCAAGAGGTCTGGCATTCTCCACAGGGTAGCGCTCTCTCACAACAATCTTCACATCCTCTGCCTCTGCGTTGCGAAAGCGCAGCAGGTTTAAGATAGTGTACTCGTGGTCTGCGAGTATGATGTTGCCCTGAAAAAAAAAGAACACTTCTAAAAACTCAGTCAAAAAAAAACTTTTATAGAAGTTGAAGGAGAATGTCATTTTCTAACCCTGTCATAAAGTTCTATAATCAGGTGATAGGCCGCTTCATCAGAACCAAACTGGATGTCAACAATCCTGTCGATCCCCAGCTGCTTAACCTGAGTCAGTCGCCGAGTCTTCAAGTGCTTCCGACACTAGTGAGGAAAAAAATTAACTAACTTGTTCGTAATAATTCCTTTAAAACACAACAATTAATAAAAAAAAAAGCACAAAAACATTTAGTTTTCTACTCCTATATTAAATTTAAATCGTACTTCAGACCAAATCATGACAAAAACAAATATTACCAAGGATGTTTTATTTGTATTAAATAAATAGTTGATGTAAATAACTAAATAAAAAGAGAACTTTAAGGTATTTAGGACTAAGGCCTTACTTTCATGGCAAAGCCTGAAGGCATCATGTTTTTGGGCCATTCAAAGTCTGTGGAGTGAATGCGAGTCCCAGACTCAATCAGGAGAACAGCTTTGCTGTCAGGCCTGAAAAACAAAAATAGATTGCCTTTGTTTCACACTAATACACCGTCTTAATGCAAGAAAGTATTGTTAACATACACAATGTTTGAACCTAAGCATACTTCAGAGTTAGGCGGAAACCACTTGAATAAAGGTGCTTACTTTTGCAGTCGGATCAGATAGGTCTTGTTATCGATGTCATAAACATTGTTCACCCTCATGCCAATGTAGCTGTGAAGGAGGAAAATACACGATCAAAAAAAAAACTTAGCTGTTAATTTAAATACACAAAAGATTCCGTTAATATAACATATTAAGGTCGCCGTGTTAATTAACCATCAGAACCGTCTTAAATCCTAAACCCAAACATCATACAGTGACTCTAGAACCATGATAATCATTACACGATCCGTGATTATCCGTATGTACACAAATACTTTGTATGATATACACAGGCACTCCAGTGTCATTGTTACGTGTTTAAATGACCAACAGTGTGAATTCTGTACTGCAGAAGCAGCATTTCTCTGTCCGACAAACATCACACATCGTACATACGTCGGTAGTATTAAAAAATTAAGTTCAACCTTCAAATTTATTTCCGTAAAAGCGCTACTAATTCGTTGTTTTGTTTTGTTTTGTTGTTACTTTTCTGTTAGACTTTCTGTTAACGGGATGTAGCACAGTGACAGCAGGAAGCTAAGGTTCAGTTAGCAGCTCAGTTCAGTGCAGGAGTGGAATCAAACTGTGCCTCACTTTGCGTTGATCTCGGCGATAACCGCCCTGATGTCCACCGTGGTGAATCTGGTCTTCATGGTGGCTTCAACTAAGGCAACAAACACAGTAAAAACAATAGGGTCTGATGTAAATATTCACATTTCTATTATAACATGCACAGCATGGAGGTAGGAGTAAATGACATGCGCGGAAATGACTTCTACGGAAGACGACGAGGAGCATAAAAGTTCTCGTCAGTCCGTTCCTTCAGAACACGTTCACGCGTGATGTGTTACAATGCAATACAGTACAATAGAATATAATACGACAGTAGAGTAATACAGGAATTATTTGTTAAATTTTTGTTTTAACAAATATTGTTGTGAATTTGTATTTTGATTAATGTTTATATAGTTTAGATATGAGAGAGCAACGTATTGAGATTTGTATATAATTTACATAATTATGTTTTAGTAATTTCTACTCTTTTTTAGAAAAACATTTTAATCTCACTTTAATCTGTGTTGTGGGAAGCTTAATTGTTGTCAAACTTTTAAGATAATATTCTGGAATAAGGAACATTTGTAGAAGATATTTTTTGGAATGCCATTTTTCTGAAATTGGATTTTTTAATTGCATTTTGTTGATTTATATTTATCGTTGTTTTGTTTGGGGTTTTTTTTCTTATCAACGGCTGAACATTTTTCTGCTATGAGATTCTATGAAATCCTCATCTTTAAATTTCAAATGATGTTTTCAGATTTACTGTTGGAGTACATGAGTAAAAGCGAAACATAAGAACATAAAGACAAAGTCCTACGGAAGCCGATGTGGAGCAGAAACGCAGATAGGTCCACACCTATTATTGGGGCACACACTGGCTGAACTGGTGTTGTGTGTGTGTGTGGGAGAGAGAGAGAGAGAGAAAGAGAGAGGTTGGCGCCTGGTAACGCAGTAATGTAGTGACAAGAAGCAGCAACAATAGCAGTGATTATACTCTCGCGGGATTTACGAGATATTTGTTATAAAAAAAAGCTGATGGTGGGTCCTCTGGACTGTATAGTGTGCACTGATGATGCACTACTCCAACTGGCTTATCAGCTTGAAAAATAGGGCGAGTCTTCGAAATGCGTGCAGGACTCCGCCGAGCACGGACTGGAACAAGAGAGGAAGAAGCGTGGACATGAAGAACAACAATCCTTCACTGCAAAACAACGAAAAGAGCAAAGAACAAACGGTCACCACCCACCTCTGGAAAAAAGGTACCGATGTGAAAAGACATCAAATATCTGGGGGCTGCGGTACGTTATTCTGTATGGATGGGTGTTTTTTCGTGCACGTCGGTGCCTTTCGAGACGTTTCGTAGGTTTTATTTGTGTTTTTTTACGAGTTTTTGGAGAAACATCGACCCAGAGTTGTCAGCTTCCTGCTCAGGTCACAGAGGAGGGCGAAGGCGTGCTCCGTTACCACGGCAACGGTCAGCCACAGGGCACGCCACAGAGGCTAAGCTAACAGACTAACGAGCGCTCAGGCAAACTCTAGACAAACACAGTTTTCTTTGCTAAAACAGGATTCGACAGCAGCTAGAAACACACACTGCAATGCGGTGCTTTGGGTGAAAGAGTGACATGAAGCGGCCACTGCAGAGTAAGTGAGAATCTAAGACAAAGATAAGGACGAAAAGCTGAGGAACAGAAGAGCTGAGCAGTGACACCTGACTGCTGCTCTATGACATTTGAAACGTTCATACAATTTTGGAAATTACTTCTAGGGCAATTTCATCAACCTCTGTAATTATGTACATTTAATTATTCATCGCTGCCGTATTTTGGTTGACGCTTCATTGATTAATAACTTCTTGTGTTTAGAGGAATTCGGAATTTTTGGCCATTTTGTTATATTTTGTGGATATTGTTCTTGGTTTAAAATTTGTATTATTTTTATATTCACTCACATTTAAAACCTTGTTATAAGAGTTACAGGGGAAATTTAAGCAATTTGACGATATTTTGTGCGTAACCTCTGATCCTTTCTAACCATATTCTTGACCATGCTTTGTATTTTTCTTTAGTACTTTTAACTATTGTATTATTTAATTGGACTATGCAATGGATTACATGTAACCTCACTCATCATCGAAGACAGAGTAGATTTATTAGTGAGTCCAGCGTAGTCTGTAATACCTAGATGTAGAAGAAAAAAACCTATATTTATTTATTTGGATGTGGAGAGCATCAAAGTTTGACCACAGGGGGGCAGCACTGAAATTGAAGACTTTAATTCTATTTTATTAATTAAAATAAGAAGAAGGTAGCAACATGTTTTTTATTCGTTGTTTGGCTGTGTGACTCATGAACTTGCCAGTTGCAGCTGATTAGAGCAAAATAAAAAAAAGTTTTTAGCTGCAAATTTAAAAATAAATCCAAATTCCTTATTCCAAAAAATGATCACTAGTGATAATTTTTCTTAGGACAATGACAGTATACCCTGATGTATTGTGGGAATGTATTATGTGTTCAAGGCACATTGTTAACTTGGTGGTTGTGGATGGTTATAATGATTATCATTATATCATTGGGGTGTATTTAATTAAAAAAGAAGTAAATGTAGATTTTTAACAATTTTTTTTCCTGTACTGTCTTTACAGGCTACAAAATAATCAAGAAAATCGGCGAGGGCACGTTTTCTGAGGTGGTGAAGACTCAGAGCCTGATAGATGGAAAGTTCTTCGCGTGTAAAACCATGAAGCAAACAATTAACAGGTATTTATTCACACTGTTCAGTCCGTGGTGTGGTTATCTTGTTATGGCACTGTTCCTGACATTGCTGTTGAAACCCGACTCAGCAGCTCGACACCTCTGTTGTCTCTATTGTCCTATTACATGTCAGTCAACTTTGTCTTGTGCCATGTGAAGAAAACAAAGAGGGATAGTAGTTGAAACCTGAGGCGTCAGTGTCCAGGTTATTATTAGAACTGATTAGAAGTGGAATATTGAAACAAAAGCCAATAATTATTCTGATGTTCCTAGAACTTGACACAGTCCCAGCCAACACGTCCATTTGTGATCTTAAGGCAGAAGTCTGCAACCATAAAGACTGAAAGAGCGTAGTAAAAGTACCTTCTTTCCAGTGTTGATCATTTGATGTTGATTAACCGTCGAACCACAGAAACACAACACTTTTATATTGAGACAACAATCAATTCTGACACAATAGCAGTAATCAGTAATTAATATGCTACACACCTCAAGTAAAGAAATCTTACATCCGACCTTCAATTGAAGTAGTAGTAGAGTAGTGCTATATTATATTATATATTTTTTATTATTTTTTTATTTTTGCTTTCAAGCAAATTGAAAACAGCAGACCCCTGGCCCAAGGGGTGAAATAATGAGCTGTGATAATGAGATGTTTAAACTGGGTGTATAGTGGTCCACTTTTCAAATCGCACACATCATATATACTACTGCCTGTCAGATTCAGTCTAGTTCTTTCTCTTTCTAAAATTCTCCGTGGGTTGAAAATGTATCCACAAAATGTGACTCTTCCTCTCATCTTCCAGCCTGGAGCAGGCCAACAACCTGCGGGAAGTGCAGGCGATGAAGAGACTGAGTCCTCATGCCAACATCATCCAGCTACATGAACTCATTTTGTGAGTGTTGTAGCATCAGATGTTCCAAATTTCACTTCAGTGCCTTGAGCGAGAGTGATGTCATGCGCGTCTTCATTCTCACTTTATGTTCCAGTGACAAAGAAACTGGGACAGTGTCTCTGATCTGTGAGCTGATGGAGATGAACCTCTTTGAGTTAATACAGGGTAAATACTTGGCCACATTATCGTTGTTTTGTCCGACACTGAAGTGACATCATCCACACTTCCTGTTGTATTGTTTGTCCTGTATTCATTGCAGGAAGAGAAACTCCGCTGCCGGAGCAAACAGTAAAACATTACATGTACCAGCTGTGCAAGTCACTGGAACATATGCACAGGTAGCTATGAAAGTGTGACTCCCATCTGTACAACAGTGTTAGCTCCTCTCTTAGCCTCTGCAGTAGCAGCAGGTGAGCAGCTTGGAAGGGAAATGTGATCTCCTTTATGATCGTGTCTGAGGATTTATGAACATCCACAGATGTTTAGAAATTCTTAGACACCATGTTGTAGATGCTCCACCTTAACAGATGATTTAAATAAACCACCTGAAAAATAACTAATAATTAATTTAATAATAATTTTTTTTTTTTTTAATCTTTTGTGATCCACCTGAGGGTCGCAACCCAGTCTTATGGGAAAAAATGGTATATGCTACATATATATAGCCTGCATTAATTTAAATATTTAAATGTCAGCTTTTGATTTTAATTGTACAAAGGAAATGTTTATTTACATAAACCACTTTGGAAACCCCTCATTTGAAGATTTAATTGTACAAAGGAAATGTTTATTTACGTAAACCCCTCATTTGAAGATTAAAAACTATCAATTATAACTTGAAAAATGACCATCCAAGAGCCTTATGTACTTCTAAATAACAAATTTAGTCTTGTGGTGTTTTCAAAATCAAAACGGATGTAAGAGTTATTTAAGTCTGGCACAAACCTTGTCTCTCAGTGTGTCCAGGGAGTTGGTTTTCCTTTATTAAGGCTGCAGTTCATGCACCAGTGGCTTGTTAAAGGTGTCACTTCCCCTGGGAAGACCTTATCAAGGGATATTCCAAAACTCCAGGCCATATATTCATACAACATTATGGCCATTGAAAACTGACACTGACTGAAACTGTCCACCACATGCCTGATTCTCTCAGCAAGAAATGTAAAGAACCTAGATGAGTGAACAATAAAAAATGAAAAGTGCAAAAAAATGTCTGGAACCTATGACCAGTAAATATAAGTAATGTAAAATCATTGTTATTTAAAAGAAACATTAAAGCAGAAATGCTTTGATTTCTGACCTTCTGACCTCGCTTTTTTCTTTCTTCCCTTTTCTTTATTATTTCAAAGCTGTGGGATTTTTCACAGAGACGTGAAGCCAGAAAACATCCTCATCAAAGTGAGAAACTTTTTTTTAAAAAAAATAAGGAAACATCCCAAAGTCATTAGTCTAGAGTTACTCAAATTTCTTTGACGAATTCACACTTTGCAGCAAAACGTCCTGAAGCTCGGTGACTTTGGCTCCTGTCGGAGTGTGTATTCCAAGCCTCCTCACACAGAGTACATCTCCACACGCTGGTACAGAGCCCCCGAGTGTCTCCTCACAGATGGTTATTACAGCCTGAAGATGGACATCTGGAGCGCTGGCTGTGTCTTCTTTGAGATCATGAGGTAGAAAATATATCTGTAATAGTTTAAACAGTCAACTGCTCAGCTGAGACTGAGGAGAACACTTCAGTGTTAGACATTTAAATGATCTAACATACGGCCCATGGGCCAGAGCAGTCACGCCAGAAAGTCTAATGTGGTCTTAAATAGTCAATATTAACTTTAATTTAAAAAAAAAAAAAATCAAATTTGTGTCTGATCTGAAACAGGGATGTCAAACACACAGCCCATGGGCCAGTAGTGTCCTGTCAGACAGTACTGTGGGGGACATGTAGAAAGTGTGAAATAAAATAGAAGGCAATAACTGTAAGGATTTAAGAATCTAATTTTTGTCATGAATCTCAAACATAAGGACCATGGGCCAAAACCAGCCCATCAGAGGATATAATTTGACCTGCAGGGGAAACTAGAGTGTGAGATTAAATGGAAGATAAATTTTAACTAAATTTTGTAAAAACCTACAGTGGTGACTGATAACTTCCTAAATAGCCATTTTTTTAGATCTTGATACAGTTATTATTATTATTATTATTATTATATACAGTACTTTTGCAGATATCTTAGTAAATATTTTGTAGATTGTTGATAATATTTTATTATATATATATATATTTTTTTTATTAATTAACAGTGAAAATTAATTTGTTGTCCACCTTAAAGATTGGAGGAACCTCCCAGTAATGTACTCTTACACTTTGTTTTACAGTTTAAATCCTCTCTTTCCTGGAGCCAATGAGTTGGACCAGGTTGCCAAGATCCATGATGTGCTGGGAACACCAGATCAGGGTGTTCTCCAAAAGTTCAAGCAGTAGGTTCTTCTAATCATCAGAGATTCAGACTGGAATTTAACCCCAGAAGCAGACAGTACATATACAGTATTTGTACTTACTGGATGTACAGTAAACAACTGTTTTTTTCTTCACGTTGACCAGATCGAGAGCTATGCATTTCAACTTCCACCCCAGGAAAGGAACTGGTATTTCGCGACTTATCCCCAACTGTCCAGCTCCAGCTCTGTCGCTGCTCTATCAGATGCTGGCGTATGATCCTGATGAACGCATCACTGCAGAAACAGCCATGCGACACACGTACTTCAGGGAAATCAGGTAACTAGAAGTTCAATCCTAACTGACATTGAAAAACAAAAAACATGTTATAAACAGGTTATATTCCAAATACAAATAAAGTACAAATATTCTTGTTTTTTTCCTCTTTCTCTGTAGGCTAGCGGAGAAGAAAGCCGACAGAGTCGCAGCAGCTCTAGGGGGAGGAGATACTGGTGGGATTCACGGCTCTGTAGAGCACCTGTGGCGGCCAAGCAAACTCGGCAAACAGCTGAGGGCAAGACACGCAAGACAAACACCATTAATGAGTGTGAGTTTAACCTCCAGTTCAGCTTTGGGAGACCCAACATCCTGTGTCCACCAAGGTAAATCGCTTTTTCTGTCCTGCAGCACAACATCAAGCACCCAGGAGAGCCACTCATGAGGAGGAACATCCCTCATTATCCCACAGAGCTGCCCAAGGTCAACATGGTGGTACCACGAGCGCAGATGCCCTTCCCCGTCTCCACGATGCCGGCTTTCACGGGCAGTCACCGAGGCACTCTGCCGTCCATCACCACTAAGAAGTGCCAGTCACAGTTGGCCAAGGTAACCCCAGCAGAGAGACACACAACAGCAGGAAAGCTGCTTTAAACTAGCCTCTGATTTATTTTTCCACTCTCTCTCTCTGCAGCCTCAAGATGAGTCTCACAGCACTGCTTTTAAGACCTTCTACATGCCTCCTCTGGACAGGAAACAAGGAGGCTTCTGAAAACCAAAGACAATTTAGACTAATTGCTCGACAGGAGAACCACACGGTGAGAGAACGGTTAGTGCTTCTGCTTTACAGAGAGAACATCACAAATCAGAGCTCTTCCTGTTTGTTTGTGTGGGTTTTCTCCTGGTTCTGGATATAAACTGACCATAGTGTGTGTGAGCGTGAGTGTGAATAGTTGTTGGTCTCTGGACATGGTCCTGTCATGGACAGGTGACCTGCTGTGATTGGCTCCAGCTCAGTCTGCCACCCTGAAAAGGATTAAAAGGTAGAAGATGAACGAACGAACGAACGAACGAATGAATGAGTGAGTGAGTGACCTTAAAACCCTCTCACTGTGTCTCACTCTGACATACAGGATGTTGAGACGATCACGTGTGAACCACACCTGAGGATGACTTCTGTAAAGCATCGGGCTACATTCAAATCACCAGGTCAGCAGTTATTTAGATATATTATTATTCCAGTAACAGCCAGTTCAGCATGAAGACATTTTAAATATTTACAGAGGTCTGACATTTCCTCCATTTAGAAACAGGAACTTGAGAATCTCAGCTGAGAGGTCATTAAAAAAACAATTCTATATTCACTAAAATAAGGTTGAAATAAGAAAAGAATAAAGAGCAGCTCATCACACGGAAAAAAACACGTGGCATGGACACAGAAAACCTGGTCGTGCAGAATCCAAAACTGTTAGGTTTCATCACAATCTGATCAAGACTCTGAACCAGTAGCAAAGGACGGCCCATTGTTATCCTTCAAACACCATAATCCACTAGAATAAAACGGCCCTCCCCTTACTGAACCACTGAACAATCACTTCTATTCAAATGATCAGGTTTTGGACCCAGAGGCAGAGATCAGATTGGACAGAAGTGATGTCATACGTTGTGGGTCTCAAGTGTTTTCCCTCTTCTACAGTGTGATGTGAGGCTAATGACGTCAGTGTGATTCTATTGGATTATAAAGGGAGGTTAGTTAAGGTGCGCTGCCTGGGACAGTGTGGCCGGTGATCTGAAGGTAGCCCGACTACACCGATTCAGAACAATCTTCACAGCCACCGTTGTAGTTTGTCACATTGTGAACGTGTCCCTCAAAAAACGACTTTTTGCTGGTCCTGGTCAGATGTCACATGTTTACAAGTAAAGCAATAACACATTAGACAGGTTAAGATGAGGTGAATTAGGTGGTCATTAACTTACCGTTTAAACAACTTAATGTGGCTATTAAATGATGCCACGCCCTTTGGACTTCCAGTTGGCCTTTACAACTTTTAATTAGAAATGATTGGATGACGTTTCTACCATGTAAAATTATTGTAAATGTTAAAGAAAATACTTAAAACTTTAACCAATAGAAGCTGTTGATGTTGTTGTTCATGTTGTTAAGCAATAAAACACGACCAACTTCCAGAGCAGAACAGTTCTCACAGGAACACTGCTGTATCAATGTATTTTTAGTAGCAGGTCTTCCTGTACAAAGGTAAACAGTAAAAATATTCACAGTAAGTACTTGACAAATATCCCTCACCACAAAATCACCACTGATAGTAGTTTGAAGGCACATTTTGTGACTTTGCTGTAAAATGTTTGAAAAAAAAGACCATCAGAAAGAAAACGATGTTATAACCAAGAATGATTCCCTTTGTGTTAAAACTAAATGTCTACATTTTATTGACTACTTTTTTGTATTTGTATTTTACATTGTAAAATGTAGCTTTGTGAATATTCTACTCCCCCACTTTTAAAACATTGTGGCTTAAAAGCCACTCTGAGCTATGAGCTCATCAAAGAGACTGTGACCCAATCTGCACTTTATTATTTTGATGAATATGATGCGTTAAAAAAAATCACAGTAAAGGTAAAACAAAAAGAAAGAAGTTCATTTCTAGGTCATTGTTAAAAACACGTGATGAAAACCTTTTTATAAGTTGTGCAAAAATATACGACACAAATGTCAAGAACAAGTGTTGGAAAGTTTTAATGATTAATAGAGTAGGAGAAGGAAAAGAAAGTTCGCTTCAGCAGCTTTTTACTCGTTGTGTCGGTTAGTGAACATTTATTGGCATCAGTTAAAAAAAATCAACAATTAAAAAATAAATACTAAAGTTGTGTCAAACCACAAGTTTGTTTGTTCCACATCTGAAGTCCTTGACAGCAACTGAAGAAATCACGGTCCAAGTCTTCTCACAGTGTTTTTGTTACGAGGGCAGAGTGAGTCAGAGCCAAGTCGAAGAGTCCTGATAAATGTTACTGATGAGACTTCCTGAGCTTCAATGACTTCCAAACCTGACAGCTCACTCTGCCATAAGACTGTAAATAAGAAAAGGACCAAGCCACTGGGTTGCAAAACTGAAGCTGTGGAAGTAATCGAGAAGTTCTCTGCTGGTTTTGGAAGTACCCTTTATGAGTGGAAGTCTACTGGATATATTTGTTACATCTGTAAAACTCTTGCTTATTTAACTGCAGTCCTTTACACTGTTCTCTTTACATCCAAAGATGCTCAAAATATCATTACAAGGGCTACACAACATAGACTGGATCCTTACAAGACACCTGCAGTCTGTGTGTGGCAGTCTGTACTACACTACACTAAAACTGCTCTTTTTACAACCAAATCAAATATAGTGTTGTCTTATAAGGAACCAGGCCATGTTACACTGAACTTATATAATATTTTGAGTTGTGAACAGTCAGAAGTACTGGTTGGTCCAACAAACAGCACACACAGCTTAACTATGTTACAGCATGACCACAGTAACAAAAGGGCAACACTGCTAAATACTCACTGACCTTGAGGAACACTACTATTGGTTGAATCTTGACCAATCTCGTGGTGCTGAGAATGGATTCTTAAGGAAAATATTTCTTGACATAAAATGTAAATTAAGAAAATTTGTTTTAGTTCAACTTCTGTTCAAAAGCATGTCCTTCTGAAACCAGCAAGTTCTTCCTGTTAACTTCTTCCACATCTTCACACTGCAACCCTAATGTGGGTAGGTCCATTTTATATATACGGTCTTTGCTTGTTGCAACAATAAGAATATAGGCAAATTCATGTCAGGAGCATGAAAACTTTGTTCTGTAAATACAGTAAATGTAGGTGGAGGAAAAAAAGAACAGTAAACAGTGTATTCAAGATTATTTTAATATTATTAATATGTATATTTTAGGCTTTTAGAAATATAACTATCAATGACAAAACTTCCATGGAGTAATGGTAGTCTGCTTAGGCCCCCATCAGATCAATTAATTACAATATACACATTATGATACAGAGCAGATTTAAATCTGAAATATTAAAATAAATGCTCAATAGATAAAGGTTTTAATTTTTTTTTATCATTTTCTTCACCTACTGTAATATTAGCCATCTGTGAGTTCTGAGCACACCCAAAAAATGTAAAGCCATTTTCTTCCTAATAAACTAATTTAAGTGCAAACAATTTTTTATTTTAAAAAGACTATGATTGCAGCATCAAGCTTTATAGATTCAGATTTCAAGACTGAGGATGTTAAAGCCCAGTGAACAAGGCAGTCCTCAACCCTTTTTTTTGTTCCATTAGAGTAGTTATAAAAACAAACAAACAAAACAAAAAAACTCAACAAAACAACTAACAAAATCAGTGCAAAGTCAATAACGGGGAGATTTTACTCAAGGAAAGACGGAGCGGAGGGTGATGGTGGATGGATGCAGAGTTTCTCAGATGCTCGCTTACTTGCTCTTAAAAGGATAGTTCATCCCAAAAAATATATATGAAAAAAAACTTTGTAGTCAGTTTACCTGAGCCACATATGGGCCACGTAGGCGTAAGATATACTTAATAGTACATGAATTATCCCTTTAATCGCAAGCCACAATTCTCTGGTTTGCATCTAACAAAGCCAAGCCTTAATTCCAGATTGGACAACAGTCTGATGAGATTTGACATGAAAGAATTAAGAAAAAGAGAAAGAATTAAAAATGTGTTAAAACTCCAGAGAACAATAGTACAGAATAGTCCACAAACGCACCATCTTCTCTTACTTCATTCTTCTAGGTCAGAGTGAGCCACAAACAAACAAAAACAGAAAAGGTAAGGAGACAGGAGAAAGGAAGGAGGTATAAAAGAAAAAAAAAAGGAAAACAAACAAAAAAAAACTTGCAATGCTTGCAGGGTGAAGAGCAGCATCAGACTCTGGGTTGCAGGGTTCTTTAGCAGCAGAAATATTGTGGCTATACTACTGTTCCACTGGGAGAGCTGGCTTGGTTTTGGGATGACAATAAACCCTGGAAAAAGGGAAAACAAGGAGATTTGCATTGGGAAAGTTCACATACTGCAACAGAAAAGATAAATAAATAAATCAAGCGACAAATAGCTCATTAGAAACTAGCCTGCGGTCGCCTGTGTCCGCTTCACTTGCGCCCCGCTCCCTTGCACTTGATTAAAAGGCTGTGCGCAGCAGTCAGAGTGGATGTTGAGTGTACAGTGCGAGACTAATGTGGGTTTTGAGAGGTTTGCTGGATCAAGGCACTTCACTTGTACATGGACCTGACCTTTTGTTTAGCCCAAGACCTTGTTCATTTGTACTCTTTTAAGGGCACATTGACTTCATTAGCACATCCACTATGTATTGCTTTTCTCCAACAATGTCCTAAAAACTATCAAATGAAATTAGTTTTGTTTTTCTACTGTTTTCTGCAGCAACATTAACCTTAAATGTAAATTTAAGGGTTTCTACTGATGAAACGGACACGGACAAAATTAAACACTCGCTTTGATACTGCAGCTGGTGGATTCCTGTTTTAGTGAAGTAATAAAAACTACAAAAATTTAATTTAAAGTATTTACTGTTGGCCACAGATTCATATTGTGTTGCCGAGAACTTAAAGTGAAGTTGCTGTATATAATGGTGTAATCCTTTCTTGAAGTCCGACTGATAAATACTAACCTGATAAAGACTAACCTTTTCACAGTGCTGGCTATGTTGGTGAAAATATTATGTGCCTCATTTTTGCAAAAGCACTTAAAAATAAACAAAAGCGCACAGTGTTCAGGGGGAATAGAGGCATTTTCTGCTGAAAGCATGTGAGAGACTGCAGAGATTCTCTAGGCAAATTGATCATTTGCATTAAAGCAAGAATGTGAGAGTGTATGCAGATGAATTCTCTGCTATGTGGCTATGCATTGTGGAATGATAATGATGGAACCCATGGAAAATACTTCATGTGATTTGACATGCTTCCACTCACACGCCTATTAGAGGGAATTCTTATTTGACATTGGTTATATTTGAATGTTAGCCATAAGAGGCCCTTTAACTGGAAAGCAATAAACATCTAAGTCTCATATTTTATCTGCCCCACGATAAAGCTAAAAATACACCTAATCGCTACAGTTTAATTTAAGCTTCCGGAACATGACTTTTTTAAGTTACAGCCCATCAAATGATTTCAGGACGCCTGATGAGTGACAAACTCTGTTGTCACTTCTAAATCCACCCCATTTTCCTACATTAAAAAGAACTTACCACTTTGCCTGGCCTCGCCCATGTGCAAATAAATCCCTCCTGACAAGCAGTCACTAAACAGTCCTCTAAAAATATGAGTACAGTCAGTCTCTCGTGTGCTATCTTTTTACAGATGAGGGGCTCCAGGAGGGGCACGTCCTCCATTCGCGGGCACAGTAGAGTGCCCAGAGTCTTTGCAGGGTCTGTTTTGGTTTTTGTCAGCAGGTTGAGCTTGTCGCTGCTCTTACTGCTGATGTGACCCATGCTGTGGTTGCGTTTGTGGTCCTTTTCGTGGTGGCGCTCTTTTCTGTCGTGCAGTGACAGTGTGGCAAACTTACTCACACCTGTAGCGATGGCACTGTCCATAATTCCACTGCTGATACCTCCGCCACTGCCGGCCTTGTTAGTATTGTTTGCTGTCGTTGTGTTCCCAGCCGAATGGGGTAGGCTATTGGAGCGTGGTAATGTAGCAGAGAGAGAGTTGATGCCAGGTGTGTTGGCACCGCTGTTGTTTCCGTTAGTAGTGTTGCTAGAGGTGTTCGTGATTATTGTAGCACCCGCGGGGGGGCTGCTAGCATTCATCACGTTTGTATGCGTCCGTGTCCTTGAAAGAGGGAGATGCGGAAAAAGAATATCCTCAGTGAGGTCCCATAGGCACAGCTGAGTGTCCTGACCCACTGAGCCGAACCGATAGGTAACACTAACAGGCCGGCTGTCCGTGGAGTTGCGTTTGGAAAGACGTGACTGTGTACTATTGGCCCGATCTCGTCCGAAGTGGATCTGATCCTGGAAGTCCTCATCGCTGCCGCTAAACTCCATGGGGTCACTTTCCTCTACGCTGGTGGTGTAATGGTCAAACGCCACCACACTCACCCACGACTTGTGACCATGACCTCGGGCAATAACTCTACAGTCCAAGAACGACCACACAGTTACAAGATCGTCCTCACCACCAGCGACTATGTACTTTCCATCCGGGCTCCAGCACACACACAACAAGCCACCAAAGTAGCTCTTCATGGTGCCGTGGAGTTCTACGGCATCAAAGTTGAAGACCCTGAGAAAGCCGTCCTGGCTTACACAGGCTAGGAACTTCCCGTCTGGAGAGAAGGCAAACTCATTCAGAGCCCCCTCGCCTACTGTCCATTTAAGGAGGGGGTTCCGCGTGGATTTGCTCTTACAGGTGTGCACAGAATAGTTCTCCCCCTGCTTGAGGAGCTGGTAGTGTGGTGCCGTGGTGCCACAGGTGTGCTCAACGTTGTACAGGTACATGTTCCCGCTGGCGTGAGAGACCAGGAACAGGCTCTCAGAGCCCGGCACCCATTTTACACATGTTACCCTGGATTTGTCTATTAGTCTCTGTTGGAGAGGAAAGTTTGGGATGGAGACACAGGAAGGAAGAGAATGAGAAGAAAAGGTCAAAACAATAGCTGTACGGTGTCATCATTTCAAATAACATATTAGTAACCAAAGCAACCCGCAAAATCTTCTTCAACCCACCGTAAGTACACCACAGTAAGTACTGTATATAAGTTATACTTTTGTGTATTCCAGAATTTTTTTTTTACAGTTTTGTCACAATAAGCAAAGTTGCCTCATCTTAACTAATTAAGACCACAATTAAGATGATAATGATTGTAAATAGCCACCTGTCTTAAAAATTAGACTTGTTTCACAGTTCTAATTACTAGTCAGAGCTAAATGGTTCCAACAGTTTTATTCACAAATCAAACAGTTTTTACATGTTTGATAACTGAATTATAATCCTAGGCTCACAAACACTAACTCTGGGAACACCCACCTCCTCATTGAAGAGCTTGCTAGTCTCCTTCTTGATTGGATCGATGAGCTGTACTTGTCCTGCAGAGAAACCCACCAGGAGTGCCACGCTTTCCGCCGTGGCTGTGAGGTGATTGAAGTCATGACAGGTGGGCTGTGTTCCCTTGTAGATGCGCTTGTCGATGGGCTTGCTCAGGTCCGCAGCCTGCCAAGAGAGAGCACAAACACAAGAGGTGAGACCAGAAATCATTAGATACAGATAAAAAGTCGACACACTTTAATACAAAAAGAAAATGCTGTTGGCATGTTTAAATGTTGTTGTTTATAAAATGATACTGCATATTTGTAAATTGGTAGATGCTAAATGCGATAGAATTTGAAAAAAAAAAGAGTGCTTTGACTTAGAACTTAAATACCTTTTAAGACCTTACAGCAAAATAACATCAATAGTTACACCGGCCGATGATTAATAGTTCACACTACTTTTAGAAGGAAAGGAAGAAACTGAATGATGTGTTAAACAGTGAGTCAGTGTTTCCTTTGTGATCAGGCAATGTGAAGTGGACATGTTGGTGTCTTGCAGCCAAAACAAACATAGGATTAAAACAAAAATCAAGACAAACACATCGTTTGCTGCCCAAAAGCACTGAATTGAAATTGCGAGTTCTGCATGAGGAAAGGACATTTTGGAATACACTGATGTATGTAAAGACTTCCTAATTACTCTTTCAGTTACTATCCCAAATATGAATTGCGAAGACAACAAGACTAGGATAACTTTTCTTTAAGGCTTCATATTCCATGGCTGATTTGAATCAGCCTTAGGTTTACGCAAGTGAATTCATTGCTGTTTGCATTAGAATGATTGCACACATGACAAGCACATGAATGTGTATCAGCTGCTTCCAATCAACCTGTAATATGCTCCCAACCATTACCAGAAACCGTGTTGGTGCTTGACAGAATGAAAAGAGCTTTTTGCGATTAGGATGTGGCAGATCATGTATGGTGACACTTCTAAGGTACCATACATGTGTGGGGGTGGTAGAAAGTATCATGATGCAATGCATGGTAACAACTGTCACAGAATTCCTGGTATTTCCAATTCTCTGTACAAGGGAAAAAATACAAATCATTATGGTAGATCAGGACACAAATAGCTAAAGAACTGAACTGAAATTTTGCACAGAACATAAACAAATAATATGGCTTTTCACAGCTTATGAGTGGGAAAAAGTGTCTGAATGCAGTTATGGATTTGGCTGTCACATTATCCAACTCTTCAGTCTTCTAAGCAAAAACCACAGCTCTGGGTTAGCTGCAGTCAGACACAGTAGGGGAAAATGAGAATGACAGAGACCATTGTTCTTTGTGTACCCATCATCATTCGCGCTCCACTTGCTGCCTTTACAGACCTAGTATAGCGAAAATGGTGCACACCAGTGGTACTCACAATGGCACGTATGTAGGACATAGAGGGAGGAAAAACAAGTAACTGCTGTTCTAGCAGCATTTACTTCTGACGTGTTAATGGCATTTTTGTTTAACAGTTTGAACAATAAGAGTAAATGTGACAGAAAAACAAAGTATAGTATAGTGGCCTACAGCCAGGAAAACAGGGGAACCATTAAACCAATAGCAAAATGTCATGCTGAAAAAGTACCCTTTTCAAATATTTTCTGGGGTGAAACCACTCAGTTGGCTAAGAGATAAATGGCTCTGTGAAATTGTGTAAATATCAGGGATACAATATGAGCAATAATTGAATTAGGTTATTTAAACATTAGCAGAATAAGCACAGGAGTCATGGTGGTAACCAAGGCACATAGGCTGCAAATGTTATAAATCCAGTGTCAGTGACAGTTTGTACAACAATGCAGTTATTTAAGCCACGTATTTAACCTCTTCCATTTGATATAGCAATAAAAACTTTACTGTTAATGCCTCTTGCAAAGTAATAGACTACATAAAGTTCTCAGTATTTATGTCATTTAGTGCAAGGCTTTTGATTCTCTACTTGGAAATATAAACACAGTACTCACTTTGTTAAGGAAGTATCTTTGAAAGTAAATATACAATGATAAATGATAAATTGTTCTATTTTACAATATGTTTGATCCCACATAGAGTGAAAAAAAGTTTTGTGTTACACACAGGCCTATCACTGACATCACCTGGTCTTAAATGGACAGTTGAGAAAGGTCCCCTCCTTTAAGTATATTTAAAAAATATACTTTATCTACATTATTTTTTATTTAAAAGTTCAACAACTAGCAATTAGAACCAACATTTTAGGAAAACTTTTACTTTAAGTATAAATAATTTTGCCAGTGGATGCTTTTTTTATAGACTGACATGCCTATGTCGTTACATCCAAAACCAATAGAAGTCTTCCGGTGTTTCTCCGGTGTCACCGTGTGCTCTGCTCATTTCCTTTCTGCCAGTGTGTGGTCCAAACATATCCAAGTGCTAACAGCTGACTGTAATTATAAGAAATTACTTATATTGTAAACCCGACTGACTGACTCACTCGGCACCAAACATACAAAATGCTGGTGGTGCGTTGACACCTGTCAGTCAAAGGGCGTCGACAGGTGGGTGGTGGGAGGTAACGTCTAACTGTCAAAGGCTAGCAGTTACAGTTTGCTCCCTGTCCATTTTTTTGTATAAATAATAAAACGACCGTGTCGCCTAAATGACCGTTATAACGATTTACAAAACAACCACACACTAAATGGGTAATATTGTGACAGACTAGTTGCGGAATTTTGCCTCTGGCCCTCCGTGTAGCTGCTTTCATGCTAACATTAGCCAGTATCGATGGTTAGCTGTGTGCTAACAGCTAGCTGTCAGCTAATTTGAAAGTCAAGCACCTGCTGGAGTTAGTCTTTTCTAACAATGGAAACACCAAACTCCCACAGCATCTCTGTTGTCGGTGATGTGTTTAAACAAACCGTGAACCCAGGCAAGGCTGACATTAGCCGCGTTAGCACGCTTACCTTTCTAACGCCTTTGTAGATGTAGAAGTAGAGCTCACGGCCCACATTGAAGCAGATCCTGTCGCCGTTGCCAGACTGATCGTTGACGTTCACGAAGGAGACCTTGACCGGGTTGGAGCCCTGTGAATTGAAAGGCACCCTGTTCGGACGGCTGTATTCGGAGTGAGTGAGGAGTTTATAGACGCCTTCCCGAGTGGTGAACTGAGTTTTAATTTCGTTCATCTCCTTCCCTCCTCCCTCCGCCGCCATCTTTGAAATTAACATTCATCCCTTTCCCCCCGGCCG